GAATGGAGCGATATAAATTTTTTAAGAACAGCCTAATAATGCCAATGACAGTTGAGATTACAACTGTCAAGCAACATCGTATCTAAAAAAAAGTTCGTTCTCCATTAGCAGAGAAGCTACATCATGCATTCCAGACAAATATGACGAATTTATACTAAAACCTATTTGGAATTTGCGTCTAATTTGCTATACAGGTTTCAAATAAAGTGTAAATGTTTTTTTATGCTTTTTCAATACGCAGGAGGAGTTCAAGGCACACCATTAGTCCAGATGTGCGGCTTTTTTTTTTTTTTTGCTATTCAATAATTCTGGCCACCTTTACAAGCACCAGACATGAACCGTTTAATAAACCTCTGTAAGACCATTTGTAAGCATGGGTTAGAGCAACACCTCATTTTCACGCGCTACACACGGATGGATCATCATCGACAAGCGTCCCTATATATGGCACCAAGCCCTTGCCTCACAAAGGAGCGAAATGTATATAGTACTACGGCTCACTATATCGTTACCTTAGGTTGCCATACAGTTCACAAACATGCTTTGCATGCAGGTAGTAGACCGCACAGCTAGAATCTCCAACGGCCGATAACCCAAGGATAGAGCGGCGCTGTGCCAGTCAACTATGTTTGCTCATTTCCACAACGCCAAACGCTTAATTCTCTTAAACACGCATAAGTTTGCCATAGAAATAAGCCGTTGTGTAGCTAGCTTTAGGTTGACCACACGAAGGTCTCACGTTACCATTGTCGGCCTCCAAGTCGCCGCCGGCACCAGCGTTGCGCTTAGCTTCCACCAGTTCGGTGAGGTAGGCGTTGACTTCCTTTTGAACGACGGCTACCGCTTCGCTCAGATGAGCTAGATGCGACTTCACGTCTGAAGGGGCATCGAACGCTTTGCAAAAGCGCTTCAGCGATTCCGACTTGGCGAACACTTCGACAACTATGGGAGCCGCCATTTTTGCTGATGGCGTAAAGCAGATAGAGGGATGATACCCACAACTTTCACGGGCAAGAATTTCATAGAGGGATGTTACATGTAAATTCTTTGAAGCTGACTTTGTTGTAACAGTTGGTAACAGTGGCCTACGCAGCTTCATTAAAAAAATCCCGTACCGAATCCCTACATACTGCACTGTAGTTGTTGTGTAGTCCTGACGTAGATCTGAATAATGCGATTAATGTAGCTCAAGCGCCATGCCATTGTTGTGCAACCTGAGAAAGTGCACAAATGCAATCACGCGCTTGCCAAGGTGGTGGCGTCCTCTTTTGATTGGTCCGAATATCAGTCCAATGCTTAAAAAGCTTATATGTGACTATATAAAAATAACTCAATTCATTGTTAATTATTTTTATAGTTTAGATCATTTAGAAGGTTTCTTATGCACTGGTTCTGAGCATTGTTAGCCTTTCGCGTGCTTTATGAGGCAGTTTAGGCATAGAGTTAATATACAAACTCTAGAGGAAAAGCTGCTGATTCAATAAAACATATAACACCTATAACCACTTGCGTTAAGTCATGATGAAACGACACTCGGCTTTCGGTTGATGTATGCTCATGGTGGAAGGAAAGGTGTACCTCTGTTACTTCGTGTGTACGCTGCATGCTGAAATAATCCCTAGCATTTTTTTTTTTTCTGTTTCATGGATCTCTGTGGCATCGCAGTAAGATACTGTCACATTAAGTCTTGTTGCTGGCTCGTGGCAACAAAAACACGAAGGACAAGGTGCAAGCAAGCTGGCGAAATTAGCCGCACCTAGAGTTACTGTACATGCTACCTTGCTACCTAAAGGTAGCATATACAGTAACTCTAGCCGCACCCCTCCCCCCCCCCTCCCTTACCAGACCGCCGCTCCATAATGTTGATACTAGATATGACTGAATAACTGTGGTTGATACAATAATAACAATACAAAGATGGTGGCATAATCTAGCAAACAAACCTGCTCACGTTTTTTTTTTCACGCGCGGCAAATTACATAAATTACCATTCTACCTTTGTAAAAGTAGATAGGAACATCATACTACAATGGTTCGTTTATAATATGCAAACACACTAGTTTATGATTTATTCTGCGAGAATTTGAGTGTCTTAAATTGATATATTTAGCGCTTTTTTTTTTCAAGTATTGTAGTGACACGTTCCTAGATGTCAGTGCTTTGTGGTTACAACTTTTCCGGTCCAGCTTTTCCTCTAGAGTTTGTATGTTAAAGGGGCCCTGAAACACCTTTTTGAGTAACCATGGACTTAATTCACTGGAATAGCGTATTACTTCACAAATCGAACACCGCAAAAATTTTAAGAATCCGTTTAGCACGAGTGGAGTTACAAAGATTTGTCACACTCTGCAATCACATTCTCTTTTCTCTCGTCCCGACGAAAGCGCTGGAAGCTGAGCAGGGAGGGGCAGATAAAAAACGTCACTCGCGCCTTGTGACCTTGAGCATTTCTTTTTTTTTTCTTCGAATGCGTGGCTTTTTCAGTGCAATCACGTGCAGACAGGTTACGGCCTCTCGCGGCGACCTCTGTAACAACCGAGTGCGCCATGGTCAAATCAGCCAAATGGCTGATAGATGGGCTTATTTTCCGTGATTTTTCGAGAGAAGAGAAAGCTATTTATAGCGGACTTTGATAATTTATTGTGAATTCCAGGCCACGTGCTGCGCTGTAATATTTGGCTCGCGTGTTGTCGGTAGCCTCTACTACCAATCGGCAGCGTTTTCTGACCATGCTCAAAAAGTGTAGCAGGGCCCCTTTAACTCTATGAATTAGAACAAGAAAACTTGATAAAGAGTGACGCGATTGTTTCTGTCTCCCAGTAAGGGAGACAACAACAAAAAAAAAACTGCAGGACAAAAGCAAAAAAAAATTGTTCAAATGGGGAGCTTACTGGCGTAGATCTAACTATTTACAAAAAAAAACGACTAAAAGTGATTCACAACGAAATGCAATCTGTTCTCGAAATCGCGATCACTGGCTCAATCTTAATTAGAAAACAGGACTACTTGCATGACGATGACGTGAAGAACAAACACGCTAATCTACAGATAAACATTGTCCAGTCTTCTTCCCGCACCTGTCCTGCTACTATTGTAGTGAAGGGGCGACGCTCCTTAGGGTGTGGGTCTGTCTTTCCTCCGGTGGTGTATGTAGCCACCGGTGGCACATACCCGAAAGAGCGCTTCTTAGAATGTCCGATGGATAGCGGATACATGATGAAAAGATGCGAGATGGCTGCACTTGTAGTGTTCGCTAGATAGATGAACGGGAATACAGATAGACGGATGGATGCACAGGCAGACAAAGGGGCGGACGCACGGGCAGACTGACGAACGTTTCGCCCCACCAATCATCATTCACTCCGTGGATATGCTGCGATGTTTTTCCTGACCTATCCAAAATTTTGGCCTTATTAGTTTATTCGTAGACTCAAGCTCAAAGGTGTGAACTATCGATGAAGATTCCGAAGACCACTCATTTTCGCATTTCCTAAATTCATTACCTTACGTCTACGAGCAACAGAAAAGCTGCCATTTGCGCAGCCTGGACGAATAAGTATGTGAAGTTCCATGACTTAATTTGCGACGATTTTAGAGCGATCTAAATATTTCAGACATGGTTTATATAACTCGCAATATGCGAATTATTCACAGCCGTCAGGTCTTCCAAACTAATCTGAAGCGTACTTCTAGAATGTTTTGTTCACAACCGAATAAAAGGTGATTGTGACGTGCTTACATCACGCCCATACATATGGACTTCAGTAGCTTAAAGGGGCCCTGCAACACGATATCGTCGGAAAGCGCTCCCAAGCTGCAGTCCAGACTCCCGAGATCACGCGAGCTGAGATTGTGGTTACGAGAAAGAAAAGAAAAGTGGGCCCCGTAACTGTCTGCAAACTTGATATCGGTATTTCAAATCAAAATTAAGGTACAAAAAAAATTTGTAGGAATGACGCAATGCTGAAAGTTTAGGGCAAATTCACCTTATAATCGGCCAATCCCCTTCTTTGGGTACGAGCCATTCGCACAGGAAAACAACAACTGTCTGCATCAGCGTGCGACACCTCAACAGTAGCTCACTAGGGATGGGGGTGAGGAGGGATTTAAAGGATAGAGAAGGAGATGCGCAAGAACAGCGAGCGACGACACAAGAGAGATAGGAAATATGGAACACGGTCACGGGAGTTCGAGGACGGGGCACCCCTTGCGAGAGCTCTTGTCGGCGACAGATGGCGTAGGACTAATGCAGTCGGCCAGAGCTGCGCTGTCGTCGGAGATCGCGAGGGCACAACCAGTCGGCACGGAATCTAGCGAGCGAGGCTAAATATCATAGCGCAGCACCGCAGCCTTGAATTTACAATAAAGTCTACAAAAAATCGCTTTCTCCTATCTCGACAAATAACGCTACAGGCTTAAAATCACTGCGTCCCAGGCCAACTGTTAGCACTGGACTGAGCATAGCGCGACCGGGCGTCACAGCAGGAAGCAGCAACTTGTCCAGGCGCGCTGAGAAGCCGCCCGGACAAGGAAAATAAAAAAAAGTGCATGACAACCCGCACACAACGGTTGCTTCGCCCACCCTCCCGTTGAATTACTGTCGTGTGCGCTCGTACTTGGTTTCTACAATTTTCTTGTGGCAGCGACTTCGTGAGGCAACAGGCTCCTTCGTCTTTTTGAAACGTTTCCAGTCCAAATCAAAAGAAACCGACAGAAAAAGGATGCAGGTTCTTTCTGTGATCTCAGTACCCTCGTCACACACTATTTGGGTCAGTCCTTGCAATTTTTCTAATTATCTTTGATCAACCAGCCCCCCAAATGCAAATGAATACTTTTACTGTGCGAGCTTTTGGGAAATTACAATTAACTTTAGTAAAAGTTAAATAAAACTGAACTCCCTTGGGTACATTCAACCTCTTTGAATGCTCCATGACATGTTCACGCGATCAACCCTGCTCTACAAGTTCCTTTTGCAGTTATCGAAAGATGCCACAGTACAATTTTTTTGGCAGTTTTTTTTTATTATTTTACACGAAGCAGCGATGTTGGGGCTGCAGCGTCGCCTACTTCTCATCGGGCTTGTTGTAGACGTAGGTGAGGCAGCACTTGCCACAGTACTGCCTGTCAAAGTGTGCGGCCATGAAGACACCCGCACCACAGTCCTCGCTGGGACACTCCCGCCTCAGCCGAGTGATCTTGCCATTCTCGTCAACCTGGGTAAATATAAGATGTCAATTTAAGCCATTAGTCTAACCCTCCAAACTGTAAAGGGCAACAAAGCATCAAGAAGCCATCTTCAATGATTACAACCAGTTTTACACGCTGAACAGTTATATTGCGATTTTAAATACTTTTCTGAACTTCATCCGTGTGTTCCCGCTAAAGCTCTGCTTGCTGTACTTTAGCAAACACCATAACGCAATGAGAGCAGTCTGTTCCATTTCATCAAAACCATTTCAAATTAGTGCCCAGTGAGCAATGAAGAGTTGAAACTGCACACCTCAAATTTACTGGAACAAGCATAAATATGGTACTACCAATGTAATGCTTATTTGGGTGAGGTGACCACAAGAAAGAGGCTTCACATTATGCCAGCTAAATGGATGCAGTCCATGAAAGCTTGAGAGTTCCACCAGCAGTATGTACCATGAATTTATGAGGTTTAAACAACTTCGCTCACCTTGTAGAACTTGAGCACGGCCAGCTTGACCTTCTTCTTCTTGTGCTTGTTCTTCTTGGGAGTGGTGTAGTTCTTCTTCTTGCGCTTCTTGGCTCCACCACGCAGTCGCAGCACCAGGTGCAGGGTCGACTCTTTCTGGATGTTGTAGTCCGACAGGGTGCGCCCATCCTCCAGCTGCTTGCCGGCAAAGATCAGACGTTGCTGGTCGGGCGGGATGCCTGCACAAATAAGGGGAATATAAAACACAGGTGCGACATACTGCGAAAGAGTTATTCATCAACAGCCTCAAAAAGATCGTTTTTGACACAGTGGCAAAGAGGATCAAGTAATGCATTGAGGCACAAGAGCCAGGTATGGTCAACGCACACCAGTACAGGTTAACCCTTTGATGCCCAAAATTTTGTTTCAATAAACAACACCAAGAAACCTTAGGTACGCATAAATAAACAAGAAAATATGCCAATAAAGTTTTCAAAAAAAATAATAAAGATTATGGGCGAGTAACGAGTTGTTACCCCTGAGCAACATTGGGCACCTATGGTACTACTTCATATGGAATGGGTTCCAGCAGTAGTGGCCCCAAATAAGGTAGAAGCAGATTGCACCATACAAGATTGAGATATACCATATTTACTCGCATAATCCTAGCACGTTTTTTTTTTTTTGGCAGAAAACCGATGCAAAGTTGGGGGGTGCGAGAATTACGCGGGGAAAACTTTCCTCGAAAATGCACAGTGCGAAAAACAAAACAGCCAGAAGTCGGGATTCTCACGCCAGAACAATAAAAGCACAGGTTCAACACAAGGCAAGATTTATTTGAGACACAAAAGACGCAATCAGAGTCGAGAATAAGAATACCGTACCCAAAGCCTGCAAGCGTAGCGTTCATCGCTCAACAGGAGCCCTCAAAAGGTAAGCGGAGGACGTCAGTATTGGGCTGATGGCCATTTAACAAAATCGTCTGCAGTTGCCTTCCGAAGAAATGAAGTTCACCATCAATTCAAATCTCAGGCACACAGAAGGCTCAACACATCTTGATGGCTTTCAACTGCCGTAACCAGTAGCGAACACAACACTCGCCTACTCCGAAGGGTCTACCGGCAGCCCTGTTGCCGTTGTTTAGGGCATGATCAATCACTTTCCACTTGAAAGCAGCCATGTAGATTCCGTATCGCCCCATAACATACAAATCCCACTACAACGTACAATTGCCACTTTGGCTTGCATTTCGGTGCAATAATAGTACGCTCTATGCTTAGGAGATGGGGCCAGATGGCGCACGCTATAATCATCAGTGGCTGGAACGAGCAGACGACATTATTGCGGCAATTTTCGGGGGTGCCATAATTACTCGAGGAAAGAAGAAATCGTATATTCTTCGGGCAATGTCCGGGGTGCAATAATTATGAGTGTGTGGATACGCGAGTAAATACGGTGTTTTGTATTACACCTGCCTTGTGATGTATTTTTAAAACTTGTTTTCTGTATGTATTACTAGAGGGGGTCCTCATTCAGTCTCCGACTATGGGACCTCCTTTTGTATAGAAAGAATTTGTAACACTCCTAATGACAATAAAAAAAATTCAGATTCGTGGTGTACTGGCCTTGAGTAGCCTAGAAAACATTTAAAATGTAAAAGAGAGAGCATATCGCTCTGTATAATGAAAGTATGTTTAGATTTATTATTGTGAAAATAAAAAGGGTATGGAACCACGCAGACATTCGTGTATAAAGAAATTTTCTACATTTGCCAAACAGATCGACGCGCGAACCAGTTCCCGAAGATGATAGTTTTCTTTCTCTCCCACACTAAATATAACAGCTACGCACAATGTAAATTACTACATCGCATCTTCTCATATCTGCTTTTACTCCCATATATGCTCATATATACTCCCAATGTTGCTCATGAGCAACAACCCATTTGGTAAAAGATTTCTGTGACGTAACTCTGCGGCCACACTAATCAGCGTGCGCATAAATGTTCTACAACGCCTTCCGAGCAAGTATGATAGATTTGCAGTAGCTTCCCGTTCCGCCGCAGCCGAATGAATTTCCTTCCATTTGTGGAGCTACTTATGCCCTAGAGCAACCATGAGCATTAAGGGGTTAAGCGGAAATTGAGTAACTGATCACTCATAGCAAAACAGGAAAGCTGATGAAAGTTAATTGAGATCATAATATGGTCAGCTCGTATGACTATTCCCTGGGTGACAATGTGTCCACTGCAGAGCTCTAAGTTTCTGCAAAAGGGAGCGCATTGTGTGTCAAGTACTACACTGCAAGTAACACTCACCCTCCTTGTCCTGGATTTTCGCCTTGACATTTTCGATGGTATCACTGGGCTCGACCTGCAGATAAAAGAAAAGGCAAAGGTCGTCAGAAACTGCCCATGTATCAACAAGCCAAAGGAGGCGAAAGGCAAAGCCATCAGAAAAGTGCATATAGTGATTCGGTGTTTTGCGGATATCACCAGATATGTGCGTATGAGTGGTACATGATTCATCACAGAGACAAGATCCATTACTCGTAAAGGCTGAGCAGGAAAGTACGCATACCTCAAGGGTGATGGTCTTGCCCGTGAGTGTCTTGACAAAGATCTGCATGGCGATCTGCGATAGGGGAAACAAAGGCATGCGAATATGATACAAAGTAAGAAAGACCAACTTCAAATGCTTTCAGATAACTGCTTAGGATTATATTAAAATGTTTTCAAGACCCGCTAGATTTCTGGGCTGGAAAGGCACAAGATCTACAGGTGTATATCTCGGGCTTTCTCACCTCTGAAGAATGATGAAACGTCAGATATGCTCAAACTTCAGCTGCATTTTTTTTTTACTTTGGGTACAGAAAACTTATGGAGCATCAATTTATCATTTTCGGTTATCCAAAAGCTCCAAATAAAGCAGTGACCTTCAAACATTGAAGTTGACTGGTTCCCAGAATTGCCAAAAACCACAGATGAAACTCTTGGACCACTGCAGGCCCAAAAATAGTGAAAAGCGATTTCACAAACGAAAACCTCCTCTTTATTTAATTTACACCAGAAGCACCGCGTTAATGCACCCATCGTTCTCCGGGTTGTTGGTCACCTGCGCGTACTTCCCCCACACCACTTTGCCACCCTGCGTCACCAGACCAAGTTCGCTGACGTTCACTTCGACCACCGTTCCCTTCGTAATCACCCCTAGCTGCGAATAGAGCGGCGAGCTTGGGTTCTTCTTGACGCCGATGATCGGCAGGCAGAATGTCGCCTTGAGCTCCGGGTGAGTCACGTGGGCCTTCTTGAACCGGAGCGCCATCGGCCGGATGAAGCGCTCGAACTTGGGCGGCTTGCGGGTGAAGCCCTCGCCGACGAACGTCACCTTGGTCACCATCCGCTTCCACGCCTTCTTTTTCCGCTTGCCCGTCTTGATCACCCGAAACGCTTCGGAGTCTCCGACGCCCCGGACTTTCGGGATCGGGACATCCCACTTCCCGGCCTTCTCCTTCCGCTTCTGCTTGATCATGTTGGAGAGAACCTTGGCACGGGACTGGTTCTCACGGTCCAGGAGGTAGACGGGCACGGCTCCCTGCGCCGCCGCCTCGGGCCCCCTCTGCTTGCTCAGCTTCTCCTCGTGCATCTTGAGAGTCTTCTTCATCTGCACCTTCTCGGAGTAGCGCTTCCTGGTGAGCATCTTGGCCTTGAGGCCCCGGGTGGTCTTCGCCTTGAGCGCATCCTCGTGCGGCTTCCGGCCGAGCCGCTTGCGAAGCCGCTCGTGGTGGTCGAGCCGGTAGCCGTACCGCTTCCGGTGGAGCTCGATGTGCTCGTTCTGTGGCATCTTTGCGTGCTCGACGTCGCCCCTGCCCTCTTGCTAACCTTTTGCGTTTGCTGCCAAGTTTTGGGTTGCGTGCGGCTGGCCGCAGCGGGGTGTGTACTCAGCGTTTCCCGATTCCGCACCTGCGAAGGGACAACAGGTGTTCCCTTAGACTCCGCGATACGTTGCCTGGCTAATATATATTAGCGCAGTGAACGCCTCCTGCCGCTACGCGTCTTAAACAAGTCAGCGACATGGTTCCGACACGCCCGGAGTTCTAGGGCGCACACCTAATGAAGCAGGCGCTTTGCTGCGTTACATCCGCAACGCCGAAATGAGGCTGTCGCGGCAGGGAATCGAACCCGAGGCCCTCGTCGCACAACCCGGTCGCGTCGTTACCCATTGCTTTGCGGGATTATCAACAAAAAAAAAATCGCCCTTAGACGAAACCACACTGCAATATCGGCATTAGATCCGCAGCTGCGAATTAGCGGGCACTAAGGAAACCATGAATTGAACGTTGGTGTCATCGCTCGCGGCGAAATCATTTGCGGGACAGCCCGACGTATCATACCGCTCAAACGAGTGTGCCAAATTTTAAGCACGTTAACCCAAAGACAATACCAAATGCTTCAAGCAGAGCATCGCGGCCTCTAGGCAATGCATCACGTCCGTGCTAATTTCGGAGAAAAACAGGGCTTCAGTTGTCTTAACGATTGAGTGTTGCACGACCTCGTCTGGGCAAATTCTTACGGAGAAGCCACAACTACAGGAGAAAAATTTTCAGCCAAATTTAGCGGCAGTCTGGCAACAACCGCCCCAAAGTCTGGCAACAAACTTATGCAACGCCAAAAGGAAACTTGCCCCTGGTCTGAAAACGTCCACAACAAAAGACGCAAGCGGTCGTCAGCATAATGTAGAAAACTACGAGCCGATGATACTTTCCACTGCAACATGTGTACCGAGGCTTTACGAAATGCGATGGCCCTAGAAGCTAAAATTTCACTGGGTTCCATCATCAATCAGAACGCAGTGCACAAAGTATGAACAGCAGTCCCAAAACTTGGCAGCAAAGCGGCGCGAAAAACCTCGAGATCTAGATAAAAAAAAAAAACCGCACGCGGCAACACAAACACATTCGAGTTGCGCTTGCACTGGAGTAAAGCGTTCAACATCGACACGACCGAACACATGGATCAAGATGCCGGCACATGCAACACGACCACGTTGACAAGACATTCGCACTCACTACAAAAGTTAACAGGTTCAAGTTAACGAAAGCAGCGTAATTACCTAAATAATTGAGTTATTATTGATCTGCAATTCAATTATAATGTTCAAAAGAGGCTACGATGGTCAAAAAGCGCACGAGGCAAGGCTTCAACTGCGCTAGTCCTAGCATTCAGTCCAAGTTCACAGTGCGTCACAAAATAAACTACGACGCAGGCTCGCCAATTTTTAACCATGCAGTTATCTCCAAGTAAATAACTCATCCATAACTACTAGTAAGAGCGTAAATTTACGAGTACGAGAACATTCACGAGAAAAAATCCACGGAGACACTTACAGTACGCCTTTCCGTCACAGCGCCATTGAGGAGAAAAGAATCATTCGGGCGCGGGGACGTAAAATGTGAACGCAGGGGCTAATCGCAAAACGCGAAACATAGCGACTTTTCCAAACGTTGAGTAAACTATAAACTATACAAATATAAATAGTTATACATCACAACATACAACTTATGTTTTTAAAGTTTTAATTGCAAATTTGCTTTAGGTTGTACTATTTTACTATTACTGCACTTTTTTGTTGTTGTTCTGCCGTTTCGGGGTGCGGGTGCAGCCGCGCCGCAAAATGGCCGGCAAGGCAGCGAAAGGAACAAACAGGCTCGAAAATGACATCTTCAAGTGCCGTGATGAGTCGAACTGGAAGAAAATACAAGAACTGGCGGAGCAGCTTATGCAGCGGGGCACCGGACCGCAGTCAGGTCAGTCGGCGATCTGTGCTGTCGGTCACGACAAGTGCTTTACAGATCGATCAAGCACCAACCCGCTGGAAACGCTTGCTTGCTCAAAGAAGATAATTTCGAATTAGCTTCACGTTGATTGCTCCGCCGCGGTTATCTCACAGTTACGTCGAGCCAAGTCGAGACTGCTTCGAATCCACCGCACACAGGGCGCTAATCGATCCCGAATTTCGTAACGGCGAGCCCAGAGCGAAACCCGAAGCGAAAGTTTCCTGCTGCGCTTTTAGTTCGCGTTCAACACTTATCGCTCCGCATTTGGTGTTAATAAAGTGCCGCAGAGATTAAGAAAACGTGCGCAAACTTTTTGAGGAGATCGCACTTGTGATGTGATCTGAATGAAATAAATTTCAACGACACCTGTTTTCCGGAGTTTTTCTTTTTTTTTTCTAATTAAGAGCACTTGATGCCACGCCCCCCCTTTGCCGGGTCTCTAATTGGTTGAATGTTATCATAAGTTGTATTGATACCCCGAGATGGCCAATGCGCACAGCTCGTCTGTGGTATGAAACAACAAAAGTGATCTGGTGCTTCTTAAATTAAATATTATGATAATAGCATACAAATTATGTGAAAGAAAATATATGAAAATAAACACTACGTACGCTCGCTGGCGCGGAGCTTGATTTGATTGATATGCGGCGCTTAACGTCCCAAAACCACCATATGTTTATGAGAGACGCCGTAGTGGAGGGCTCCAGAAATTTCGACCACCAGAGGTTTTTTAACGTGCACCAGAATTTGAGTGAACGGGCCTACAGCATTTTCGCCTCTATCAAAAGTTCCAGCCGGTGCAGCCGGGATTCGATCCCGCGACCTGCGGGTCAGCAGCCGAGTACCCTAGCCACTAGGCCGCCACGGCGGGGCTCGAAGCTTGATTAATTAGAAGTGTGGCAGCTTGGGCTAGTTGGTATGGCATGACGATAGTTATAGCGCGAGAACAAAACGTCGACACAGAGACAAGAAGGACACGAAAGACACGAGCGCTCGTGTCTTTTGTCTCTGTGTCGTCGTTTTGTTCTCGCGCTATAACTATCGTCTTGATTAATTAAATGTTGGTGAGTGAGATCAATTTGGGGAAATTCACATTGAAAGCATAATTTTATGTCATTCTCAACTCATTGATGGGCTTTCTTGTGTTGACATTCATAATTCAAATAGTCTCTGAATTGCACTCAGACTGCCACCACAGACTGTAGAGTGTCATCATTCCTATTTCTATTCTATGCTCTCCATGTACTGAGTGCCTAATAACTGTGACATATTTTATTCAATCAGCAATTCATATCCGCTTGTGTGGGGCATGAATTGAAAATCATTGGCCTGAGTCATTGTCCTTGAGTGGAAATAAATAGGATTTACGACGACTATACGTAATAAGTCTTGTTGTTTGTTGAAGATGCTAAGTGCATCCATTACAGCATTCTTTTTGATTCGTGCTGCGCTTGAATGGAAAGTTTCCGGCAGCAGTGTGCCTAGCAATCTCACCCTAATTTTAATACGGAAACTTCAGAACGTATTCGTTAATTAGCATTAATAATCATTGGTGAGGTTTGATGTCCCAGAACCAGGATATTATTATCTATAAATACATGGGCCTCCACCGAAAATGTGGCTGCACAGCAGGGGTTCGATACCCCAACTTTTGGGTCGGTAGCACAGCACTGTAACCACTACGCCATTGTGGTTGGTTCATGGATTCATAATTATTAACTATTATAACATCTCACTTTCGTGCTTGAGCCTTCGAGAAGGGGTGGCAAGTTTCCAAGTGTCGTCAATGTCAAAAGAACTTTGATTCCACCGTTGTGTCACAGAATTATGCAAACGGGACAATAAATAAACAAGAACTCTCTGTTGTGCAGAGGCCATGGCCAGCTTCTTCATTGGTGAGAGCAAGCTGGAACAGTTTCTCGAGGAACATCCGCCGACGGAGGCCAACATCAACAAGGCCAAGACCGGCCTGACCGAGGCCAAGCGCTACCTCAACAACTGCTTCACCGAGCATGGAGCCAAGGCAAGTCCTCTGTTCTTTCCACTTCTGGCATGTGCATTTAACCGTACATCGCGGCCTGCGAGGGCAGATGCATTGTGTGTAGTTTAATGGGACACTAAAAGGAAAGCTTAGTTGGATTATTCTTAAATTAATTGAGAGGTGCAGATTAACATCTCATAAGTTGTAAACGATTAAAAACGATATGGCAATGGTGACACAGCCTTGCATGTTCCTGCTACGGTCATCATACATTAAAGTCCTGGATTTGGTGGCCTTTGCACAGGCTTGGCTCACTTTCAATTGATAAAAAACAAACTACATTGTGGTCTAAACTTCTAAAAGCTCCTGCTAAGCTGTCACAGCTAAGCCACACACCCACACACAAAAAGGGGAAAAAAAAATTGACACTTTGAAATCTGTCACGTCATGCAAGTGGTAGGGTTTCAAAGCAAAATTTGAAAAATAGAACATTGATGTCCATTCCCTTTTCTGATAGCCTATTGATTACCATGAAATAGATGAAGTACTATTCTGAAGGTCTTGTTTTATCATTCTATAAAAATTCCAGCATTTTCCTTGGTGGACTTTGGTGGTGGCATGTTTTGCATGCATTGCAGTCTTTATTGCGGTACCATTTAACTAATTTTGCAAGAATTTGAGCAAGTATGTCAACATCTGTAAGTACATCTGTCTGATTTAAAAAGTGTATGTGCTTTGCACAGAAGCAAGCTATTTAGGTGCGTCGAAAAAAGGTTGCACTTTCTTGTGCCTGTACAGCAATGAAAGCTTGTATTCTCACCTTGAAAGCGAAGAGGTGTGCATCTCGAAATCAAACGGTCAGACCTACCATATAAGGCTGCTGCGATTAAAAATACACACCCATGGGGAACAGCTGGGGCGGTGCCAGGGTTTTTCACCTCTAAGTGAGCAGCTGTAATGGGATAAGTGCTTTAGTAGATTAGGGCACAGCTCAATGAATGAATCTATCAAGAAAGAACCAAGTAATTCTAAAGAAACTAACTAATTATGAAAGGTCTAGCTAGACCACGAGGGACGAACTAGCCTTGAAGGGCAACTTACAATGTTGGTAAGGGTAAGTCCCCTAGTTGTCCACCCCCTTGAGCCCCCTTTTGCTGTCAAAATGTACGTGCTAGCAAAATCTTCTGTGCGCGTGCAACGCAAAAAATGTGTGCCAAACTCACTTTGTTTCTCATCCCAGGAATTAAGCATATTCGACCCATGTCAGCAATACGCGACAGTATAAAAGTGTGACGTACGCATTAGGCTAGTTCGCTCAGTTTTGGGTAGAAGTGAAATCCAGACAGGAACTTGCATGTCAGTGCAAGAATTCGTGGAGATGAAAGCATGCCACTGTAGAGTCGAGTGGGTAGTTTTTGTAAACTGTGAGATAGGGAGTTTTAGAGAACAACCCAAAGGTTGATGGGCACTGTTGGACCTCTACGAAAAAATGGCTGTGAATGTGGTTCACCACTATGTATGCCTGTTTGAGCTTAAGTAAGCTGAAACCGCAAAAAAAAAATAATATGAGCCACTTGCAAACCCTGTTTCTAAAGCTTCATAACACCTCATCTCTTGCAACTGTGGGTGACCAACTGAAACCCTCATTTCTAAAGCTCCCGAATGCCTCACACCTTGGGCTGTTTGTGTAGCACCATTCATGACGGCATGTTTTAGTGCAAGATTTCACGCGTCTTTCTCAACAGCTGCTGAGCACGATGGTGGTGTAGCGAGGACAGTGGTGGGTTCCCGCGCATCAACTTCGACGCATGGTTTCAAGCACGCCGTGGTTGCACCCAAGGGGTAGTGGATGGCTGGAGTGCGCCTGAATCACGAGAGTCTAATCAAGAAAACTTTTGTTTTGTTCTTTTCTGTAAGGAAATCGTCGAGATGAAATCTGTAACGGTCGGGTACACGAAGTATCGGTGGTACCGAACACGCCTTCTCACTGTGAAGCAAAAGCGCCGTGGCGCTTTCCTCGTTCCAGTTGTAAGTGTTGTAGTCTTTTAGTTCAAAGATAGATTTTACATCACTTGGCTACAGAATGTAAAAAGTGTGTTCAAATCACTGGTACGTATGCCGTCTGCACCTGTAGTGGTGATATGAAAGGTGTACGACATACCAGCATTGATATTGCAACGAGCACTTCAGTCGCAATATGCTACACATGGCGATATATTCCTAGTTTGTATGATTTCCTCAGCTTTAGGCTAATTGTTGTGAACATGCATCGAGGCTACATAATCTGCTTTGATAATGTAAGTTGGGGTATACCATTTTCCGGGTAATACATTTCTTTGACATTCCCTCTTCTTGTGGCAAAGAAGAGAATGTAAAATGTGATAACATATTTTGGTGACAAGAGTGTCACCTCTTGGTTTCTGTCAAAATAGAGTTTGTGTTATGTATGTATACCGTCCTAATGGTTAAATTTAAAATATTTTTACTGCCCTTAGATCACCATGTAAGTGCTCATGAATGCTTGAGGACCTAATCATCAGGAACATTTTTGACTTTCTGCAGTAGTGGCCATTCCTTTGCTGCCTTGAAATAGGAGTCGATTTTGTGTGCCTCTAGTGGAACGCACTTGCCGCTGCCTTGAGGGGCCACTTAATGTTTTTTGGCATTTTCAGCTGTTTAGGTAGGCAATGCTACAACTGCAATGCACTTGTACCAGAGTGTTGGAAACGACAAGAAGTAGGCCTTGCATTTTGTAGATAGCACTCATTGTGTTCAAACTAAGCACATTGAGATCGTGCAATGTTTCTCCAGCCATAAACCGGCGCCTACAGAAGATGCAGAAAGCGAAACATCTGCGAACGACAAAAATGCTATCAAAGGGCAGTTAACCAGAAATAACAGAATGAAAGGCCACAACACCGGGAAAATACCTGCACTTAAGCAGCCATCAGTCAAAGCACATGACAGAACCAAAGGTTATCAAGGACAAAATAAAAGGCCACAATTCATGACCCAATGCACACTGCTTCGTCCCATCCCCAGCGTTCACTTCACGGATACGCGTCTTCTGAAAAAGTTGTCGCATTGGAAAGGAAGATCTGACTAGACGAATTCCGCAGGCTGGTGTCACGACCGACGGCCACTTCCTGCTTGCGAAGCTGCTCTATGCCCAAGGTTTCTACGAGGAAGCCATCACCCACCTGGACAGCGGTGGAATTGACCGTCTCGAGGAGAAATCCCTCTCGAACCGCATTCTAAAAATTCTCGCCGAGTCATTTGCGATCAAAGGTACTACTCTCAGCACAATTCGTAGCTGGTGAATTTGAGCGCTAAGCTTAAAAATAAGTGCAGTTAGGTTCCTTAGGCATCGACCTGAGATGATGGGAAGGCGAAAGCCATCTTCTTTTTCTTCTCAGTTGATGTACCCTCAAACCTCATTATAACAAAGTTTCATCTTGCACGAAAATCAGTTTGCTATTACCGAAAATTCGCTATAAAGGTATATTCATTATAACAAAGTTGCATCTTACGCAAAAATTTGTTATAAAGTTATATTCATTATAACAAAGTTGTGTCTTACATGAAAATAAGTTCGCTATAACCGTAATTTGTTATAAAGGTATATCAGGCATATTCCTAACACTGTATTTATTGCAAGACTGTTTTTCATTTACCTTGTTATAACCAATATTTTATTATATCCGGGTTTGTTATATAGAGGTTTGAGTGTATTTATTCTCCCCTGCCACCCTCTGAAAGCTTTATACTTCTAACTTAATTTTTCATTGTTTTCATGATTGAAAGCATTGTGAGCTTTATGTAACCAGCTTGATTTTGCACTGTATTCACGATATGGCCACTTTTAACCAAGCGACATCATCATATGACATGACGTTATGTGACGTCAACGTGACTCCACCAATTCTTGCAATATGTAGCATTATGATGACATCATGTGGTGACGTTGTCGCGAGATGGGTGTTGCCACTGCGTTTGTATGCCAACAGCGCTGCTGTTGATGTCAGTTTTTGTGTTTAGTGATGCATCAAAGGCTTTCGCCTTGATAAATTATTCTGCTTTGCTCCTGAATATTTTGGCACATAGTGCCTTGTCAGCGTGAATTTATTTGACTATATTTGTCACAGTGTCCATGTAAAGGCGTTGTTCTACACGAAAAAAAAAAAAAGAAAGTGCAATTTGGAATTAACAATGTTAACTGGTAAATCGATTGGAACATTCCAGGCAGCATTTTTCAAGAGAAGTAGCCAGAAGAGTGTTTCCAAGACTACGAGAGCAAGCCATGTGGCAATTGTTCTTCCAAGAAAAACACCATGAATGGTGCCACTCATTTCATGGTGCACGTGAGAGTAAATTGGTTCACTTTGAAGGAGTAAGCGGTGCTCCATGGAGGAATAGATTCCTCGCACTTGGAGCAAGTTACAGACATCCAGTGAACCTAACCTTTACACTGTTTTTTACATCCTCTACATTTCCTACTCGAGCAAGCAACAAGAAAATTATGAACTTTAGAGAGTGTTTTCATCTTTCATCAGTTTCTCACTTCTGTGCTTCACTGTTTTTGTTCTGTGCTCACTTTGCTTCTTCACATGCTGGCAGGTTCTTTAGGAGCTTCAACTTAATATCTTAAAATGGCTCAAAATGATTACACGTCATCTCACCACCTAAATTGTACCTCTCTCCCATCTCAATCTTTAAAGCATTCATGCTGTTTGCTCCATCGATACCCTATATTTACTAGAGCACACTTCAGCCGGATGCATTTGTTAGTCATATTTTGGATATTGAAACACAACTCCTGAAACCAGTTCGGAACAAAGGTCTTCTAAAGGCATAAACGAACTTGGCCCATTAAACTCGTCTTTTAACGGAGTTCCGCTCGCCTCTTGAATTTGAGCCAAGTTCCCATAGAATGCTTAACTCCTAGAGATGGTGAAAAGTTGGAAGCAAGTTGAATAAACAGAAACCCGAAAGTAAATTGGTTTTTCGAAAGATGATGGTTTTGAGCTTGCAGCATTATTCAAGCAGCCGTGAAATCGCGGAAGCTCATCTCAATTACACACTGCACCCAACAGGCCTGTGCTTGGAGAAGGTGCCCCTCAAGACGACGAGCAAGACCAAGGCTGCCAACCGGGAAGACCAGATCGTTTCTTACTTTGTGCAGGCGAGTGTGAAGGCATTTATTGATTGATTTGTTGGTTAGGTTTAATGTGTTCGGTCAGCTCTGGTGTGTTGAGGGCATTGTAATGGGTGGATTCGAATTAAAAATTTGCTGGCATGATGATCAAAAATTTTTTGCACTTTTTCTTTTCATTAAATGAAGGTCCTAAACTTTGAAGGCCTAGAAAAAAAAAAGTAATGATGTCTTATGCACAAGTTGGCCGTGCAGGAAAACAACAGTTTATCATTTGAGCTCTTGCTTCAATACAAGTTGCTTGTGCTCATCAAGCCAAGGCCTCCAAAGTTCTATCAAATCATCTCTTGCATGGGCAACCCATATTTCTCTTGTCTTTCATATTGGCTATGGCTACTCCGGCTATGGCTACAATGCCATTTCAAAGCTTTTTGCCCACTTTGCAGTATACAGGCAATTTTGAAAAACACTATGTTGCTTCGCCCTAGGCCAGTGATCTGGCTTTGAAGTACCTCCAGGAAGTGGAGAAGTCGCAAGGCACCGTAGGGGGTGTCGTCCCCACGGGAACAGCCGTGGGCAACGTGTCCACAGTGGCTGCCTCCTCATCGCCGCTGCCTCCCAACACGGAGTATCGCATCGGAACTGTCCTTGAGAACGTGCTGCAGAGGGCGCCACTACTCATGATCAAGAGCGGGTGAGGCCATCATGGTTTTAGAACACGTAGCATCGATACTACTTTCTTGGAGGGGGGGGGGAGGGGGCTCAATTGCACTGCAGTGTGCTGTCTCTCGATATTTTACTTCCTCCGTGTTCCACCAAAAGGGCGCAAGATTGGGCTGGTCAGTTTGCCTTGAAAAGCAGGAAAAACGTGCTGATAGCTGTGCAATTCATCGTGTTTTTTTTTGTGTACTCATCTTGGCTGTATATGATCTTTTTTTTTTCAACTGCGTCTTCTCTACCTAAAATCAGCATTTTTTTTCCTCTAAACAATCGGCTTGTTATGTAATTGTGAAGTTCGCCTTTCTATGCAGCAGTTTGCCAGGTGAGCTATTTGCAATTGGCACATACAGTTAGTTTTTTTTTGTTTTAAAGCATAGAGAATTGGAGAATTCGGACGTGGCTCTAGTGGCACTGAACTGCGTGCAGAAAAAGAGGGCGAATGTGCATGCCCATAATTGAACATTCATTTGAGCAGTCTTATTTCTGCCAATTCACAAGCAGGGTAGCGAGGAGCACTTGTGGATAAGGAAATTGTGTGTTGGCCAGAATGTGAATGGTAAATGCTTAATTATGAATGGGACACTAGCACAAAAGGAAAAAAAGTATCCAAACAATGATTGCTACAGGATATCAGGCAGAAACTCCACTTTTTTATCTGCACTAAGGGGAACTCTCGCTTCAGGTTCATTTGTGCAGCTTATTTTTGATTTGCCACCATGAGAAAGAATGTTTAATTAGCTCAATATGTAAACAAAGGTGATTGCCTTGAAACACTCGTGCATTACATCACATACATTAAGAATAGCCATACTTTTAGTTGCTGTTGGTTTCTGACAAGTAGTAATAGTGCAAAGGGCAAAGTTCATGCAGATCAAACAGTGCTGCATTTCATATGAAATCAACGTTTTCAAGTTAACGCGCACTAGCTTCACATCTCTCACTCTGTTGGTGACTACCATTCGCCAGCTTAAGCCCTTCCTAGACAGGAGGCTTTTCTGGAAAGCAAATTCTGATTTCACTAACGAAATTTAAGAAGCATGTGATATTAAGTTTAAGTACTAATTAGGAAACTGCCAAAGCATTATCAGTGATATATGTTGTAACTCATTGAATGTATTGCTTCATGCACTTCATTCACAACAATTTAAAGTTTTAAGTTCACTCACAACAGTGATACGGTCTTTCAGAAAACTGCGGCAAGCCATCGACCAATACCGAAACGTCCTACGTGCGGAAGAGACAAGTTCCACACAATCACTCCGTCAGGTGTGTGTTACAAGTAATGTGCTAGAATTAAGTTTGTAATCATTACAATGTTACAAAGGCTGATGGACTTGCTTGTGCACAATTTCTAATGTTCAGTGTTACTTCGTCCTTGCCTGTGTCACGATGCAGACGATGTCCCGGCAACTGGCTGAGGTCCTCCTGCGTGGTGTCTGCGAAACCAACTACATTGACTATGAGCCTCGCATCGAAATCAAGAAGCAGGGAAAGCACTGGCGGCCCAACAAATATTCGGGCCAGTCGTAAGTGTCATGGGACGAAAGATCATTTGAAGTCCTGAATTTTTTTTTGACTGTTCATTAAAAACTTAATGAATACTTGGGCTTTTATAAGTGTAATAAAAGAAAAGGTCATTTCAAGTTAAAAGTTTATTATGGTTGCTTTAACACCACAATGCATCTTGTGGTGTCGGGTGATGTTACAGCTAACTACAGAAATCTTTGAAGCACAAATTTTCCGAAAAAAGTGGATTCCATGCTGGCTTTGCAACTCATTCTGGAATACAGGAAAATGATTGTAAGGCGAAAAGCGTCCACCACACATTTTCAGTTTGAATTACGAAAACTGGTCTGTTCTCAGATTACGTGCACTGGCAACTTTTCTGGTTGTGAGTAGCACAAAACTAAATGGTTCATTTTTACGTTCCTCCTCCTCCCACTATTTTGCATTCGAATTCCACTCTATCAATGTTCATTGTAATCTAAACTGGGGCTTGTTAATCTCCTTTGTGTTCTCAGTGAACCTTCTTGCAATGCATTTGATAATATAGTATTGCATTGTGTGTTGCATTGTGTGTAATATAATGTTGCATTGTGTATGTGGCGTGCCATGTGTCAGTGTAGCTTCTAACACCTCCACCTCTTGTCTGTTTTAGGTTATTCATGCCCAGGACGGAATACGAGGAAATCCTTCTGTTGTTGTTCATCAGCGAAGCTATGGTAAGCACATTCTCTTGCCCCACTGAATTTTTCGTAAGTGCGCATTTCTGGAGTATTCAGTGGTGCACGTATTGTACGCGTATTCGGTGAAACACCTATCGTATGCATATCCAAAAAGGTACTTATTGCTGAGTATTGTTCTCGGAACATTCTTCAGCCCTGCAGAAATCCACATGTTTTCCACAGTGATCTGACGGTGGTGACACTTTGTTTCACAGGCGGTCCGCAACGCAGTCCTCGACCGGTCGCCCGAATTTCAGGATGCCCGTGTTCATTCCTACAACAGCGTTGTTGCCGTGTACGACCTGCTCGTATTCATCCTCGCGCGGATGGGCCAATTCCAGACTCTTTGCGAGGTGGGATACATGTGTTATCTCCTGTATTGTTCCTACTATGTTGGTGTAAGCTACTATGTCGGTGTAAGAAAAAGTGTAAGCTCCGCCCACGAAATCAAGGCGTGCTTGTCATACACCTGTTACACCTACTATGTCGGTGTAAGAAGAAGTGTAAGCTCCGTCCACGAAATCAAGGCGTGCTTGTCATACACCTGTTGTGCTAGCTTGTTTTGGTTAAAACCGTAAGTGCTTTCTTTGGGGGGGAATACAATATACATACACATATTAAGTGTTTAATTTTTGTCTCTAATACCCAAGACGTTACACTTGGTTGAGTAGGGATGTCAATATTCTCGATGAAATTTACCAGGGTGTTTCCAAGTTTCCAACCTAAAACCAGCAAAACAAATGTGCGTCTGCTCGGAATAGTGAACTACCGAAAACACTTGAGAAGTTGAGTAATTGCTATTGAATAAAGCACTAATGCTAATTATATCTGGGAGGGACGGTGATGGCTGTGGACAGAGCTGAGGTTTCTTTCTCGGGTAGCTACCTATTATAGATACATATAGAAATTGTTTTGCTAGCACGACAAATTTCAGTGAAGTGTTTTTGTGTGGTATATCAGCCCACCCACCCGCATGCACAATTTGGGGAAAACACTCAAGGCACAAGCTTTTTTACCTCTGGTCTTGTGTCCTGTAAACTTTTGCTATTGGTTGTACGTTATAAACCGCACCTCTCAATGCATATATATCTTCTACGTCCTTACAGAGCCACTGTGTTTAGGCCTCGGCACATCCTTGCAATATATCGACATTTCATGCATCACTGTGGGCCTGTTATCAGCATGTGTGCGATGCTTTTCGGCCATAAGTGGCCCTCTGACTGAGGAAATGCCATATCTTCATTTTTTTCATTTTTCCCTCTTAATCCAACAGTCGTTCGAACGAGCCATGAAGTTCTCGTTCGAAGAATACCACGTCTGGATGCAGTTTTCTCTATCGCTGCTCTCGTCCGGAAAGGTGAGCACCATCGTGCATGAGGAGCTTAGCCTCTGAAACACTCCTTTAAAAGAGTACTGGCTGATTGTTCTTTTTACTCTTTATTTTCTGCATTCAACATCTTAAATACAAGTAATATCTTTTTTTAAGTACTTGTTTTTGTTTACTTTCTTGGATATGTACATCTTGTGATGCCACGATGCAAGAGGCAATCACTTAAGGCTTATTTGCACCGGCTACCTACTTTCACTGGTTGACCAAGTCAACCAAGTTGGTCACAAAGCAACTGGTTGCAAGTGTTCACAAATGGCTACTGTGGTCACTCAGCAGCTACTTCGTCACTCGCTGCTCAATTTTTCAGTCGTGCAACTCTAGTCGCAAACCGAGTTGAACCAGTCAAATGTTGACGAACAGAATGGCAGATTTATTTTATGAGGCAATGGTAATATGACTAGATGTTAGTTCCATGTGGTGAAGGGTTGCACACAGGTGTGGCCATGGGTCTCATGGTCACCTTTTGACCACCATTCGCAAATAGTCGCATGACCGATGCTAGTTGCAGGTGCGAATGAGCTTTTAAGTATTGAACATAAGACATTCCGGCACATGCTTTTCTAAAAAAAAACGAAATATTTTATTTTATTTCAGGTTTCTCTTAGGCATGTAAAAAAACTTTATGCTATGCTTTAAGCTTGCCTCAAAGTGCAGCAAATAGAGTTTCTTAAGCTTTACTATCTGGTAACTCGTAGTGCTGTGTTGCAAATACACTTAAACCTCATTGTAACAAAGTTGCATCTTACACGAAACTAGTTTGTTATCTACGAAAATTCGTTGTAAAGGTTTATTTCTAACACTATATCTACTGCAAGGCTATTTTCAGTTTATTTCGTTATATCTGGTTTCATTATATCGAGGTTTGAGTGTATAGAAACCTGAGTGTTGTTATTTGTGGGTATTGGCGCAGGTTAGGTCTGCTAACTGTTATTTTTCACGTCTTTACCCATGGTTGTAAGTTGGGATAAAAGTGACAGGGCACTGTCTTAAGCACTAAATTGTTTTACAATGAAGATAATGACCATGATTCAGTGGTTTCTTGAACAGAGGTAGTACAGACGGTCTTCTGTTGCTCTTTAGCTCCCGTACTCCCTGCAGTGCTCTGACCCAGAGCGTTTTATTGCAGCACCTCAGGGCGACCCTAATGCTCAAAGAGTGCGCGCGACTTCAGCCACACAACAGCTTTCCCTGCCTCCTGGCTGCTAAGGTAAGCGAATTTCATGTGAAACAGAATTTAATAGACTCATTGATTAGTCGTTGGTTATATAATAAAATTTCAGTGAAAGCAGTTAAACTTGAGTACCAAGTGAAGCCAGTTATTTTCCAAGGCAGAACTACTGGGAAAACATTGTGTGACAAGCGCCAATTTCGAAATGAGAGCTGGAAGGCCGATGTATTTTAGAAATGAGCATCTCAAAACTGGTGTTGTCCACGGAATTCGTTCCTAGTGAGAACGTAATACTTTTGAAGTTGTCAGCTGCACATGGTGTATTGCGATATCTGCTATAAGATCATCGGTATGAAGGTTAGTTAGCAAAGCTGTGGTAGCCTCCAATATTCGCTGGAGCCAAGACAACTGCAAGTTCAGGTTTAGAGAGCCACGGGGCCGCATTCACCATTGCCTCCTCACGTCTAGCACACCGCTCCGCACGCGCTAAGCTAGCAAAGGTGTTGGCAAAAGGTGCATGGCAAAAACAAAGCTTCCCATCTAACAACACACGAAGACCTTATTTCACTTTGGTGGCACCCCATTACAAAGCACTACGTCCACTGCCGGGACACAAGGAAACAGCGGGCTTCCACGGCGGATGGTACACAAAAGGGAAGCCGCAAGCACGTTGCAGCTGGCAGTGGAGAGCTTTGGCACAGCGCTAGAGACAATATCTCTTGCAGCTATGCTGCACACGCTCATAGATGACCACTGGGCCTGGTTGTGAAAGGTAGGGAAAATCACCATATGCGTGGGCTTCCGGCAAGCGTGGCTTAGCATAGTATGACCGCGCACGAGAACTAGGCACCACTCATTGACGTAGCGTGCAAAACTGGAGCTGACTTAAAAATAAACACGCCCACTGAGGATGTCGAGAAAAGCAGAATGGCAACTCCTGTACGGGACATCGGGCAGGAAGAAAAATATGCTTACCATTTGTCGGCCGAGGAGAGAGAGAGAGAGGTGTCCCTGAGTGCACATGTTTAGGTCACACCGAACCTCCCAGCTCCAAGACTCCATGCAGCACCATCACGAGAACCAGCGCTTGGTGAAAGGTAGTGCCACTTGCAGTCATGCATGAACGGGAAGGGAAAGGACTAGAAGAATGACAAAATACCTGCACAGGGGTTATGAGCGTGCCTCGGATCTTCGCAAGTTTCAATAATTAGTGAAGTAGTCATCTTTATTTCTTGAAGAATTGTGTGCGATGCAGAGTGTAATCTTTGCTGAGAAGTAGAACTGCGCTGCTTATTGCGAGGTATGTTTAACAACTCTGTTAACAATAGATTAACGTGACCCATGTGCAAAAACATATGCAGGGTGTTTTGCCAACGCTAGCCACAGTTTCAAGATATGAGGCGCACTATGATGATGCGACCAAATGCATGTTGCTGGCTATTGCATGAAGCAAGTCACTCTAATTTTTGTGTTCTGCTTGAATACTTAATTTGGCAAGATTAATTAAATTAATCAATGGTTAAAGCAGCATGGCTGGGTAAAATGTCCCAATTAGAAAGTCTGATTAGACAGTTTCCAACTCTCTATTAAGTGATAATGTTTTTCTGCTCACTAAAGATGCTTGTGAAAAAAAAAATGCAATGCCATGTGACGTGCCTATTTTTGTACTACTTTTGTACCGATGCATCTCATGATTACAGTGTTTCCCAACGTTGAGCATTTAAATTGGGCAGCTAAGCACAATAAAAAAAAAACAGTGCAACTTACCCCATGCAGTAGTCAGCAACATGATTTGGTCGCATTGTCATAGAGTGCGTTGGCATATTTTTAAACTCTGGCTATTGTAAGCTGGCAGGGTGCACCGTGTATTGGTCATGATATCCTCGCAGGTGTGCCTGGAGAACCTCGGGAACGTCGAGCAAGGCGTGGAATTTGCAGAAGAGGCGCTCAACCGCGAGAAGCGAAATCCGCAGAGTCTCCTGGCACAGTGCCACCTGGTGCTTGGTGTGGGATACGCTCTGATGGCAGAACAGCGAAGGCCGCAGAGCAAGCGGGCCGAGTTCAAGGCATCTGCATTCCAATGTTTTCTCAGGTATCAGATAGTCGGTGTCAATCTCCGTTGTTTCTCGCATTGTCTCCGGTGGATCACTTATGCTTGAGATGTGTGTATACGTTGTTTTATATCTGGGACGCTACCTCTGTAACTGTTTGCATTCAAGATTTTAAAAAGTAGTGCATCGCATGACTAAGTATGCAACTTATGAAGATGACTTGTATGTATTGAGTAGGAGTCATACATGATTCACCCTTACAACTTTTACATACGAGTCTTGTACGCATGACTGTTGCTTATGGCTGATAGATATAGATACGAGTACTATGTATGCGTCAGATACATGTATCATTCTCCATACACCATTTCGTAGCAAGGGTCTGAGTTCGTCCAGGTTTCGGCACCCTAGCAAAGGTTTATTGGTTAGCTTCCCCTGCTGTCGAAGTTCGTGTACTCTGTGACACTATGTGGCAAAAATAAGCTTCCGTGGTCATGAGCAGCACTGGCGAGCACTCCATCATACATTGTGCATTTAGTGCATAAATACACAAAGTGGGCGAGGGAGCAGTTGGTTATGTTGTGCAACTGGCAATGCATAATGTGGAGTGTGTGGGTGCAGTTTTCGCCCACTTGCGGCATTTTTGCCCTTTTTTCTTTATTGATTCATAATTATTTGATGCATCTCTCTCGACATAGTTGTCTATTTCAATTTATTGAAGTACTTACAATGTTATTTCTATTAATTATTATTAGTACTAGCTGTAGTAGTAGTAGCAGCAGCACTTAAAATCCCTTCTGTGTCTGAAAACTGCAGGGCACAAAGTGCGGACCCGTACTTCCATCTTCCCGAGTACCACCTAGCTCTGCACTACGCGGAGGTTCGGCAGGTAGGCTAAACTTTGTATCGTTCATTTTGTGTCCAGCAGTTGCGTTTTTTTAGGTGCGAAGCAGCTTATGGCTGAGCTCATTCCGGTGTGTGGCGTGACCAGCCTTACTGCGCGTGCGCCGTCTCCCCCCTCTCCTCGCGTGAGCACGAGGAGGTGAGAGGACTCTCTCAACGCGCTCGCGTGAGTACAGTTGGCACGCAGTGGGGGAGCGGACAGTCACCAGGGACCCTCACTTGAGCGCGAGGAGGTGGCGGAGCGCTGCCTCCGCTTCGTTTATCTCTCCACCACGGCTGTGCGTTCTTGTATAATGCTGTGCGTGCTCGTACCGTTGCACTCTCCTAGCAGCGGTAGATGTTCACTTTGCAGCACATGCACGGTTATAGTAAACACAAGCGGGAGGCGGGGGTAACATAAGTGGTACACAACATATACACAACCCCACACACAAATGAAACATACAGGGAAACATACAAATGGAAGCAACAACTGGAAACACAAGTGAACACGAGCATTGCTGCGTCACATGCCCGCATGGTTCCCTTTTGTCGGGAAGGGCGTAAATTAAATTCTTTTTTAATTCTTACATTTTGCTCCTCTTTTACGAACCACTTAAAACCTGTGGGTGTTTGTCTGGCCTTCATTTTGTGCTACCAATGCACCCAGCGTTTGGTTCTTTTGAACTAGAAGCTTTTGATGCAGATTGGAATGTTTGTACCTCGTGCGTATGCAACCAGCTGTTTCACCTGGGGCGGTGCCAGTAGAGGGCACGATGAAGCAGCTGCCCCCCCCCCCCCCCCCCTGTGATTTCCGCTTGCTCTCCTATGCGCCTCCAAGAGAAAATGTGTACAAAAACTCAGAGCATTGGTTCCCAACCTCCCTGTCCTTTTAAGCGAACTCACTTGTCAAGGGTGCTCCCCCCCCCCCCCCCCCATGAAAAATCCTTGTGCTGACCCTGTTTTTTGTTTTTCATGTATCTGTGCGAACCGATTTGAAGGCATCGTGAAAAGAAGTACCAGTGCAATAATTTGACACAAACAGCAATGCTGGGAAATTTTTTGTCAGAGATCTTAAATACTTAGCAATTTTTATTTGCGTGATTGAATTGTAGCTGTAGGTCATTTTAAAAATTTAATCAGATGACATCAGATTTGTCCTGACCTGTCGGATGAAACCAAACCAAAACTGCTAGCTTACATACACAAAAGCTCGATTTTAAGTGCTAGCCTCTTTCTCTAACACAGAACCAAGATTTGATTTAAACATTGTTTAAGGATGAATTAAACATTAGTGATGTAAGAACAGCAGAGAGCGGGTGACTATTGTCTTCGAGACAACTACCGTAACTTTGCTAATCTTTCTGCAGGGCTTATTTCTGGTTGTGCCGTTCAGTAAGCACTTTCTGTTTTCAGTAACGACTCGACCCTTTTTGTATAAGTTGAGGCACTGCGAAGATGCGAGGGCAAGGGCCACTGCTTGTCCTTTTGTGGTTATTTTCTTGTTTTTGTCCTCATTTATTGTTATACTCTCAACCTTGCTCGGGGCACAGCATAATGAGAGTCGCTCTTGCACCAATCGACCAAAGCAAACCAGCATTCCCTGTTACACTTCTTTTTCCTCAACTTCTACTTCCATTTTTCACTCTCAGCTGAGCAAGGCCGTCTCGCATGCCAGGAGGGCACTCGAGCTCAACCCCGAGCACGTCCACACACTGCACCTTCTCGCGCTTCTGCTCTCCGCGCAGAAGCAGCACAGCGAGGCGCTGCAGCTCATCAACGCCACGCTGGACGAGTACCCGAACTACCTCAAGTGAGCTTTCGCTGTCGTCTGGATGGGTCACTGCACAATCTACCATCGAAACACCTTGTGAAAAAAAATGACGTAATCATATAGGAAATATCTGTATTTTAGCAATTATTTCTTTCCCTCTTATCAAGTTTGAAAGCTTTGTGATGTCATATGGTCATGTAACATTTCTGTTGAGAACAACGCAGATTACTGGTCATGAGCCTAGACTACCCATATGCCTGCCAGTGTCACGCTTAACACTTGGTGCTGGCTTTCACATTCCAGTTTATATTTGAAAGGCCTTACTGATACTAGTGATTTCTTACAGCCTAATGTACACCAAGGCACACCTCGAGGACTACTGCCTCGGACCCGAAGAGGCCTTGCTGACGAGCAAGCAGATGCTACTGCAGTGGAAGACGTTCTATGAGTCCGAGCTTAAGAGGTCAGTGTTTTAGGCCGCAGTAACTGCATGTTACAGTAACAGGTCATTCAAATGAAAAATTAATGAATTACAGTTAAAAAGTACTACTAACTATTAGGTGGCAACACATTACCAGTAACTAGTTACTACCGACGTGCGAATCTGACCGAAAAAACTTTAAGGTCAATTACAAACTAAACATAACTAGAGATCACTTGATCGTGCATTATCACGGAACTGTGCGCCTGGTTGATAAAGGTGGCATAAAACATGATCTAAACGTAACATCTAAGGCTACAGCATCAGTGTAACATACACTAGAAATTGAGGAAATAAATGTAATTGGATTACAGCACTCTCAGTAAACCGAAATCACTTGATTAAACAGCATTGCTGTTTATTCAGAACAACTGCCTCTAATATAATTTGTTTTGTGCCCGAATAGTGCACTCCTAATCGCCTTTCACCAAGCACAACTCCTATAAAACAGAACATTTGCCTGGTCCCTTCAGGTTCCGTTTAATGAGAGTTTACGATAATTAGTCTTCAATTTCCAGATTTGACACACAAGTGTAGTACTTCTGGATGCTAAATGTACATATAAGTGGCACAATTTGTGAAAAAGTGGCCCCCAAAAGGAAACCAATGTTTAGTTTGTTTTATAAACTACAAACAGTTATGTTTTGTCGATGTACCTAGTTTATATACTTTTTCTGACATGTTTTGTGTGCTGCACAGAATTGCGCTTGATGAGCTAGTCATAATGTTTGTACCCTTTTATGTTGTCTTGTTTGGCACAACTGGAATCATGTGCAGTTTTTTAGAAAACTGGATCGATATAAAAGGCAACAGTATCAGTAACTCTGACATAAATCGTAGTTCAGCTGTTCAGAAATCGGTGACTTTACTAGCGGACTTTGTATTTGCAGCGACTACGCCCAGACTGGTCTGCAACGAGTGACTAGCTGCAACCGTGGCTCATTCCACGTGCGATCAGGTGACTTCTCAGACCGGGAGTCAGGTATGAACGCATTAAGGAGCTTTTTGATAGGGAAAAAGAAAGAAAACAGTTTGTTGTAGCCAAGTATATCACGTAAATTTTGAGTAGCCAGAACAAAGCTTTATGATACAAGTACATACGCAGCTAAAAAAGAACTTTTGCGTCGCTGTTGGCTGGTGTGTGGCAGTGCAAAATGCGTTCTTATGGAACTGCAACCCCTCGTCACAGTTCAAACTTCGAGATGGTAATTGCGAAAAGATATTGGCGCAAAAATATGGCATGCATTGATAACTCGTAAAAACGAGAGGCCTAGTATAATGGCATTGCTTGGTGATGCTAGCAGGTTGGCCAAATTGGTAACTTAATATTTGCATTTTCTCACGGCTGGTGGATGCTTATGCGCGATAAGCTGAAATAAAACCTAGTTTAAACTTGCTGCTTTGTCTTGTCTAGACCTTCTTCTTTCGTAAATCTATGTATCTATATCACCCTTAAGGGCATTATTGCAGGTATTACTGCACAAAGCAAACAAATAACACTCTCAAAGAGAAAACACTACGATGTTTTGTATTCAGGACTTGAGAAACTGATAATCTTATAGAAGTACTCATACCTAGTGTAGACTCATACTAAACCCATTATTTTGAAAAGAAAGGGTTAAGAAGAAACGCTGTGGAGCAGGATGTTCCAGTCATGTATGATCAGCAGAGAAAAACACCACCCAAGTACTCCGTAGAGCTGTAAAACAAGCGATACTCAGACGTGTGACCCTGGTGTTCTACATGAGCCGAGGTCCATCAAAGTTGCTTCAGTTGCAGCTTTTCATTTCTCTATCACCACTTTTTAGAGGTAGATGCCCCACACGCGCTAGGAGATGTTTGTCAAAAGACAGTAAAACACCTCTAATTGTGGGTAGTGATTCATGGTGCAGACGAATATCATCCTTAAGTATACATGGTTACAAGATCTCCAAAGAAACTAGCGCAAGCATGGAGACCTTTAAGTTAGTGTATTCTAGTGCTAGTATCGCTTGTTCATAGTGGTTTTTGCATTTGCCAGCTTGCAGACCACCACAATATTATACCTTCTAGCCCCCATACAGCTTCTCTGTAAAAAAATGCGTATTGTTCTAGCCACATACAGCTTCTCTGTAAAAAAATGCATATTGGAAAAAGTTGACTTTATAGGCGTAAGTTCAGTACAATCCGGTGCAGCTGATAGCTCAATGCAGTGCAGACAGCTCTACTGTCTATTGCCACAACGCGCGTGCAGGTCAGTCAATCGCCGCGGCTACGCGCGTGGAGCAGGCGCTCTCCGAGGCACTGCAGACCGGTGCGGGACCCCTGGCGCAACCGCAGCCCCAAACGGGCACGGCGGGCGGTGGCTCGACGATGGGCCTTCGCGAGAAGCGCGGCTCCCAGACCCTCTGGCTGCTGCAACTGCAGGTGTGGCTCCTGATAGCTGAGCTGTACCTCAAGATGGAGCAGCTTTCCGAAGCCGAGGCCTGCATCCTCGAGGCGTCCAACATCTACCCGCTCTCCCACCAGCTCATGGTCATGGTGCGTCCTAATGGATATCATTGAGGCCTGATATGTTTCATGGGCCGGGCATGTGGCGCGTAGGCAGGATGACCGCTGGTCATTGAGGGTAACTGACTGGATTCCCAGAGAAGGCAAGCGGGTTAGTTGGAGATAAAAAGTTAGGTGGGCAGATGAGATTAAGAAGTTTGCAGGTATAAAGTGGCAGCAGCAAGCACAGGACCTAGGTGACTGGCGGAGCATGGGAGAGGCCTTTGTCCTGCAGTGGACGTAGTCAGGCTGATGATGATGATGTCTTATTAGTCAAAAGATTCGGTGTAGTTGGCATCTACACGAAAGGTGAAAAATAAACACGTTACGTAATAAAGGTCAGCAAGAAGTCACGTGGTAATCCAGCGAACTTTGATCAAGTGATTTGTGTTCATTGCTGTGCTGAAATATCGCACAGCCTCATTGTTGCACGACATCACTAGGGATGTAGCCAGTTTTTCCAGGAAGGGGAGTGGTCAGATGTTGTTTATGCATTGCTACTGCATATACACACATGCAAAGCTCTGAAAAGTTTTGGAGGGAGGGGTCGAGGGAACAGAAACCCCTAACTTCACCCTGGCTACGCCACTGGACATCATCACACGTCGTCACAAGTCGACAAAACTTCCCGATGCCATCAGTGATGTCATATCTCTAACGTCACCCGATGTTGATATCATAACATCGTCACTTTTTCAAGGGTGGGTCAATTTTTGAGGCAGTGCAATAACAGGCAAGGTGTGTATAGTTGCAGTGGGAGGACGTAACAATGCAGTAGACTAAGAATGTCAAAGTATTTAATGAATTGGTCGTAAGAACACAGATGAAAACCTGTACTCTCGTTAACACTCCATGAAGGAAATGTCAGTCTTCATTTTGTTGGATTGTGTTAAAAAAGACAGTTAATATAGCCCCTTCAAGTGCAAAGTACAGAGTTTATGTGTTACATTTGAAGTGAAAAAGTGTAACCAACAGCACAACGGGGCGTAAAGACAACAGTGAAGTGCCTGTAGTCTTTCCACCACGCAGTGCTTATGTGTTGTTCACTGTGCTTCAAATCTGTGTTAACCAGCCCAGCTAGGTATATGTTCTTGTCGACACCTATATTTTCTGTCAGTTTAAGATTAGGGTGTTCTGCGAAACTGGCTTGGAGATTCATCGTAATGATTTCATGTGAGCTGTAGGAACAATCCGCTGTATTTGCTAGCGTTTGGCAGTCGACTTGAGCATCGGATGTTATAGAGGGATCGCACTACGAGCCTGTCGTCCGCTTTTATGTCATCTTGCAGAAGGGCTTGCTGCACGAGATGCGGAAGGAGTACTACGACGCGAAGACGTGCTTCCAAAATGCAGTCTCCATCAATCCACTGCACGTCACGGCCCTTCAGCACCTGGTGAGTTGTAGTCAACTGCTCTGTTGTTTCGCTAAGGAAGAGGCACGGTGGATTCGATTGACTCCAGGTAATAGTTGGCATTTGAACCATAAAGGAGACGGGTAAACAAGGAACAGAGTTTAGCATATTAGTTATTATTAACACACCTTCCTGCCCAAGTTGTAGATGTCGGATTTTGTGTGTTAACACATCTTAAATGCACATTCTAGGGCCTGGTCTACCACTACCTGGGCAGCAGTCAACTGGCCGAGAAGACGCTGCGAGATGCAGTGGCCATCGACCCCATGTGCCACCAGTCCTGGTTAGCCTTGAAGTTCTTTCACACAATTTCAGACAAGATGCCCAGACAGTAATATAGCTGAAGTTGGCGGGAAATGCCACAAATTGGTGAAAACAAGTCGCACCCTAAAATATGGACACTGTGCTGGAAAGGGATGTGAAGAACTCGTTCGGAAAATCTATTCCTATTTTTTTTTCATTCAGTTGCATAGAAGTTACTTACTCCAATAAAAATAAATTCGCGTTAGAGGGGCGACCGTTCGCACTGCGTCGGGGATTGAACCCATGTTTTTCAGGTCAGCAGATTAGCACAGTAGCTGCTAGCCAACAGTGACAGCTACCCAGGCAGCACTGTTGAGGTGTTATATTTCATGAGAAAACTGTGTTTTCTAAAACAGCATTGTCATTTTCAACACGGCAGGGAGCTTTGTAAGTGTAAGTGAGGTCCACAACAATTTGATGAAAAACTGGTGGCGATATCGCATTCTGTCAACCTGACCTTTTACTTCGTCGATTATGACACAGGTGCAAATGTTTATTATGCACTAACGACTGTATGATTCAGCAGGTCTGTCATATGCAGGAGCACATCTTAGCATACACCCCGAAATTTGTGAATGGCAAATGCAAAGTGCCAGTACATAGGCGACAACACTAAAAGTGGCTTAAAAATAAGTGTGCGTTATGAAATCTGCAATACAGCAGATTATCATTAAACGGAACCTGAAGGGTTCAGGAAAATTTGTTTCATGGGAGTTCTGTTTACAGAGAGGTGAACAGGGGCGCCGATTACAAGTATGAAACCAATCATATCACAGGTGGCAGTTTCATTTAAGCAGCAGTTTTGTTTACCAAGAATCTACTGTATGGCATCGACGTAGCAGTTCCTATTTCATTATTATTGGATTTAAGAATTTAAATTTTAGTTCTATTTCCTCCAGCACTTTGAATTTCGAAAAAACTGATTCGTTCATTAAAACACTCGCAGGTTCAACATGGGCAAGGTGCTTCAGGAGACGGGCGACTTCGACTCCGCCACCGACTGCCTCAACACGGCCATCCAGCTCGAAATGACGACGCCAATATTGCCGTTCTCGACCGTACCCCGTACGCTCGAGTAACGGTGGCGTTTCGCGGCGTGCATTTAAAAAACCCTGCGATCTCAAAGAAATATTTCTAGTTACTGAGAACGCTAGCGAGCTTGTACAAAATTGTAAATTTTGTGTTATAAGCGAACAACTTCGAAAAGAATTAATTACATTTAACGCTATTACCAGCAACAATACATGCGTTTTATGTGCTGGGCATGTAACATAGCATGTTATATTGCATATGGTTAGTTTAGATAGGTGCCAGTTCCATTTTGGAATGTGTTTTACTGTTACTGTTTTGAAAGTTTTAGTTTATGTTGTACCAGGAATAAATGTCTGTTGGTTGAAGTGACTTTTGTGTTGCTTTGGTTTCAACATGCAGAAAAAAAGTGATTGTAACCTGTGCCAACTGAAGTTTAAAATGTTTTCACTGGCTTCAACTTTTACGCCGCAATGTTTGTCCAACAATTATTAAGAAGCTTATCAACTTTTAGTTAAGTACACATTTCATTATGAAATGGTTGATCTTTCCAAGTACTTCAATATGGCAGGCCGGGCACACGCTAGATTTACATCTTCAAAACAAGAATGCAAGGCAAGCGTTGAGACAGGAATTCACACAGCCCCGAATTCCAACTGACAAGTTTCTTGCTCCAACAAATACTCGTTATTGGGAATGAAGGAATAAAGAAATAAGTGAATCAAACAACATTATCCTTGGCGGGAATCAACTTGAAGAGCTACCACAGGAATATAACTTCACTCAACAATTCCTATAAATATATTTGTTGCACTGTCGTAGCATTTAAAATTTTTAATTCATTGGCATTAGGGGAGAGACTAGCAAAAAGTGCAAAAGTTAAGCTTGTATAAAGCCTACTGTATTTGCTTGCACAATGCTAGTGTTTGCTAGCATTGGTTATCATGCTAACTGAAGTTAACTTAGAAGTAAAGGTAATGATGTGGGGAGACAAATTGCCTTAGTATAAGGAAGGACACACTGGTAAAATGCATAGGAGTTTGCGTGAAACCTGCTGTATTTACTCACATAATATCAGCACTGTTTGCTAGTGATGAAACAGAAGGCAGTTAAACATAATTAAAGTAATTGTTCTCGTGAAAAGTTTCCTGCTGTAGCAGACACTGGCAAATAAGCAAAATTTGTCCAAAGCCAACTGCGGTCGCTCACATTATCCCATGCACTTTTCGCCGGTGTGGAACATCAAGGTGAGCAATCAAAGATAATGCTATCATGAGACAACTTTAATGCCCTAGTATTATGCGGGACACTCGAAAAAGTTTGCGTGACGTTTACATTACATATACCAGCATTGTTGGCTACCAAGGTAACTGAAGGTTATAATTAATTAAAGGTAATGCTGGGGTGTAATAATTATAATGCCTACACATTGGAAGGGACAGTGGCAAAAAGTGAACATGTTTGTGAGAAGCCTAATATAATTACATGATAACACGATGGGCCACCTAGGTTACAAATAACTGGAGCCAATTTCTGGCTATGCGATAGCAAGAATTTTCAATGCACTAGCACTAGAATGAGATGCTGCAAAATGTGTGTGAATTTGCGCAAAGCTTGCCACATTTACGTGCAAGCTACGAGCACTGCTGCCTTTCAAAGTACAGGTAACTAAAGTGACAACTGAAGGGGACCATTATAACGCAGTAACACATGATTGATGATTGATTGATTTGTGGTGTTTAACGTCCCAAAACCACCATATGATTATGAGAGACGCCGTAGTGGAGGACTCCGGAAATTTCGACCACCTGGGGTTCTTTAACGTGCACCCAAATCTGAGCACACGGGCCTACAACATTTCCGCCTCCATCGAAAATGCAGCTGCCGCAGCCGGGATTCGATCCCGCGACCTGCGGGTCAGCAGCCGAGTACCTTAGCCACTAGACCACCGTGGCGGGGCATAACGCAGTAACACCAAGAGGAACAATGAAAAAAAAGGTCACAAGCTTTCATGAAGCCTACTGTATTTCTTCGTGTAAAAAAAAAATATACCACCTCCCCGAAGAGAACCCTGATGAAATGCGAAGCACCAGCGGTGCGCACAGCGTAGAATCGGTTGCAAAAGGCGTCGACGCGGGTGCTGGGAAAACTGTTCCGAATGAAACTCTGTGTAGTGTTTACTTGAGTAAACATTTCTTTGAAACGCAAAGACACAGGAGGTGGGTTGGGTTTCGTGTATGTTTCATAGCAGATGAACGAGCCAAAAGAGCGTTTCCAGTCGACGTGCGGTCGAGCGTTGCAGGCGGTGGAGAGGGTGGAGCGAGAGAGAAGTGTGTTGCAAGCAAGCGGAGGAGCCAACAGCTGCAGGCACCGCTTTTGCATAACAAGTTGGAAACGTTTTCTAACATGCTATGCACTCGCTACATGGTCTAAAGGGAATACGCGCAGTAACATGTGCTTTTTACAATGGAGTGGCCGGCTTTAAACCACGAATTTATTATGATAATCACATGTTTGGATGCCTAATGGCAACGATATGCTTGTGCCACGTAATGATAAGGCAACATTAGGTGATAAATGAGATTTATTGGTTCAAGTAAGCACTTGAGCAAGAGGCTTACGGACGATGAGAGCGGGTGGCAACAACTGGAACAAGAATCACGGCGTGGGTCACAACAGCTCCCACTCAACTCTTCAGGCTAAGGTGGTGGCCCACTTTGGCATGATGTTCTTGTTCTTCTTTACACATGTTGTATTGTGAAGCCTGTGTACAGGATGCGCGTGTTATAAAGCATGAACTTTAACTGTATTTCCAAGCAGAGGAAGTTATTTTCACTGTATTTACAAGCAGACTCGTGACTGTGTGGTAGAACATTTGCTTGCCACACAAATGGAGTAGGTTCGATTCTCAGTCAGACCCGAGATTTTTCGTTTATTTTATTTGCATCTTAATTTTTTGATCACGAACAAGATGATTTTTCACTCACAACTAATGACGCCCACATTGACATTGTTGCTGCAGCCAGAATTCTTGTAATGAGCTCTTTTATGCTATTGTGTTAATATAAGCACTGGTCTTGGCTATCAGGTAGTTCAAGGTAACTAAAGGTAATGCATATGCATTTCACTAGCAATTTTTTCACTGTTGTGCTCATGCGTGTTAAAAACATGTTTTATCGTGTTTCATTTAAAACTTTAAATGGCAAATTTTTTTGTTTCTCATGTGTTTCAAAAATCAAATCAAAGCTGAGTTAAGATTAAGCTACTTCTTAATACATTTATGATATTCTTAGTGATTTAGCATACTGGTGTGAAAAAATGCGAGACAACAGAACACATTAGTCTTTTTTTGCTAAAAGCATTAAAATATATTTGCACAAACGACAAAATCAGCAGTCAAATTTACTTATCGGCTCTCACAGAGAGCCGACAATAATTAGGCAAGCGGAAAAAAAAGTCCAAATCGAGGACATGACAGAAACATTCACAAGCTGACAAGCATGTGGAAGCTGGCATGGTATACACTTGACTCGCAAAAATTCAAGCTCCATGGTCAATTTGTCATACAATCATTTATCGATTTGGAATCAACAAATTATCTTACTGATTACCATTTACGGTATGTGAACATCTGTTCCCACCGTTTCATTATTCAAAGTATCTCGTAAAACACTGTACTATCCCTTTGTTATATAACAATTGTAGTGCTTTCATGTTCTAAAACCACAATACGACGAGACACGCTATAGAGGAGGGCTAAAAAAATTTAGATTACCAGAAGTTCCTAAGCCTGCACCTAAATCTAAGCATGCGGGCCTGTAGCGTTCGCCTCCGTTGGAAGTGCAGAAGCTGCTGTTGGGATTTGACCCCGAAATTTTCATGTGAAGTAGAGCACCTTAATCACCAGACCACCGCGACAGGCGACTTTGTAGGCATTGTGTTCCCATTCATACTTTTCAGCTGTTTTGTAACTAATATTTATCATACAGTTGTGCACGGCATTACGTTTTCTCATTTCGCCCTTCTTCTGGTCAAAAACTTTTCTCCTACACTGTAAGCACTGTCTTGTCCACTTTATTTCTTGTGTTTATCACATCACCGTAAAGAGTCCCACCATTATGTAAAATGATTTATTCAATAACTAAAACAAAACGACAAATCTGAATTGAATTGGGACAGATACAAGACAATGCGAGGAATCCCAAATATGACACATGATTGCTACTTTTTCCCAGCCCGACAGCTCTTCAACATGTTCTCAGATTGCTGCAGTTACAAGTCATATTTGCAGTTAATTTGCAATTCTACACTTTTTCAGCCAAACAGCAGCAGATAAGGACTGCTAAGCTGTTTAAAACACAAATAAAAGCACTTCATAACTCAGGTATGGTTCATTGATAAGCCACCTCAAAATTACACCAAAACGGATAAACTACATTTCAAGTTTTGTTAATAGCAGCTAAGAGATGTGTAATGCAAGAAGTTTTCACCGGTCTTTATGCATCTTTACTTGTGCGCTCAGCAGAAAAAAACATGAGTCACATTTCCTTAAGGGGGTATAGCAGGGTAACTGATACTGGTTAGTTTTAACCTAATATTTTAGAACTGGCTGAAAGTATTTGCACAAAATTTCACATGCTCACAAAGAATATCACTGGGTATCACAGGATACACTTTTTATGCCTACGATGTCTATTCTTCCTAAGGATGAATCCCAAGTTTTAAAGTGGTTTCCCTTATTCAATGTACCTTTTCTTTGCAACCACCACGAGGAATGTAACGGTATTCAGCTGTGTTATTGTAGATACACGTAGGCTATATCGCAACTATAAAAAAAGAACATCCTTTAGTGAGTTACTGTCAAAAAAATAAAATAAGTGCATTCACAAAGCCACAGAGGATGTGAATTATAGTGCAATTTTTTTACAGTTTCGCTTTTCATGAAATCCACAACTTTTTTGGTTCAGATTGTTTCCAACTTGTTGTAGCTCATGGACGCAAAGTTTTATTAGAATCGATTCAGTACTTTTTTGAGGAAATTAAAGTTCGAAAATTTATTTTAAAAAATCGCAATAAGAGAAAAATAAAGTTTTCTGCGCACGTACTGCTTACGCCAGAGGGCGGGTGGCGCACTTTGGCTCGACATTTGAACCACTTGGAGCGGCTGCTCGACGTCGAACTTCCACAGGTGAAGTGGATTTTCGATGTTAAAATTGCAAACTAAACTTTTCGGGGCCCTTGCCCCCGTATTCAACACTCCTCGACTCTCGACTTTTGCCCTTCACTTGACAGAGTTGAGTACTGCGCCACTGCTCGGCTGAAAATGACACTGCAATACTCAAGAATACCAGCAAATTATCAGTGATATGCAGTGACCTGCCCTGCCTAGAGATGGCGCTCCCATCGGCTTTCTCAAGTGAAGTTGGGGCGTTGAGTGAAGAAGCGTTCTAGAATACGAGGGTTAGACTACCATAGCTCCTTAAATCGTAGTAACACTCCTCCGTCCTGCATGAATGAGTCTTTAGGGCAACGTTTCTGTTCAAAATATTCAGAAAACAAGAGATCTACATACTTTCAAAAGTCAAACATAAACTGGAAAGTTGATCAAGCGCCTCTCCTATCGTTCCTTCGTAACGTTAGACTGCCTCAGTCAGCAACTGTACTCTCCATTCATGCACAACAATTTGAAATTTTTCAATTTGGCAGCCAATGATGTCACAACGAATCACCTGCATAGTGACCCTCGTGATGGCAAAACAAACAATGCAAACCTACAAACAACAATGCAAACAGCACCATAGAAGACAGATGAGGAACATTGCAACTCATTTGTGCTCTCTGGCACTGTATGCAGCATGACAAGCCAACAAGCTCAACGAAACAGCTGGACCAGTTTACGTTCACAACTGTATCCAAAACATTTCTCGTACCGGTATGCTATTTGAAGTACAAATATAATGCATCACAGAATATACGGAACCAAACATCCATTTTCAGTCCTTAACGGAAAATAGGTCCATACTTATGAAAAGCTTGAATTAGTGCGAGAATACTAACACGAATCGCAGATGTTCCGGTGCTCTTGTCAGCGGAAAAAACGTGATTGAGAGCCAAACACCTGTTTTCATTTTTTACAGAAAACAAGTCCATACATTTCTGAAGAGCTTGAATTTGTGCGAAAAAACCGTAACACGAATCCCAGATGTACTGGAGGATTCGTCAACGAAAAAAAAAACATGGTTGCCAAATTCGGCTAACCAGCGATCAATTTCAAGCACGCAAGAGAGTGCAAGCAAATCTTGCCAGGGCGATGCAGCGATGCAAAAGGCGAACTTTGCTACAACAAAGTCACATTCATTGAAGCATGTATTTGCTAGATGATTTATTATATCAGTGTTTGTTATAACTGTAGTTCGACTGTTTTGTTAATGATGGCGAGCAGGACATTCTGTAATAACAAGCAAAGCAACGGCGTAAATGCTACAAGACGGCAAACGAAACTCAAGTGGAGGCAAAGTTTGGCCAACGTCATCATAACCATGACCAGCACACATTCACAGCAAAATCCATAGATTAAAAAAAATGTGCTCAAGCCTTTAAAAAGTGGTTTTCACTCAACATTACATGACTGTGCAAGACTGTGATGCCTAACACTTAAATGAAACAAACCTTTTGACCACACAAAAAAAAAAATAAGTGCCAGAAAGACTTCCACTTCGCTCATTTCTACTTCTCTCTAGAGAGTATGCTCATCTACTACATTGGCAACATTGGGAGGGCAAAAAAAAAAAGTAAGTGTTAATGCTAGAAATGTTATTACAGCATGCTCACAAATGCACAATTAGCACACACACACACATGCAACAAAACGTATCCAATTTGTTACATTTCCTGTATTCCAGTCTAAATCTCGCACTAAATTTTTTTTTTCTCCTTTAAGGGTCCCATCATGTCAAGACTTGCATCTTGTGTCACAGTGTTTATTTTTCAATTTTCTCCCCCAATTTGTTTGTTTTTTTCACATTATCGAGGCATTCATGCTCTCAAAACACTCATGCGGTCCGTATTTACATTGTTGTACGCATTGCGCAGGTCGCTGAATATACTCCACAAACTCTGAGCTTCTTAAGTTAGGAGATAACACGCCTCGTTTACAAGCCTCGTTTCGACGCCAAAAATATGCATGCAACTCGATCTTTCAAAACACCTTTATTTACTTGAAAACACCTTTAAATTCTGCGAGCGTCCCTTTCATAGTGAATGCGATGCTCACTCCGTCATATATTTCACTGCCAGCGCTACGATGAAAATTCAGACTCTCACATTCATGCAATCTACTACAGATCCGAACATATACTTTTCAAACAACCGCATTAATGCATCCTCTTTAAATCTCATCTCGTACGTTAACCCGCCTTCCAAATAGAGGCAACAAAGCCAACGACGCCAAAAGCACAGATTAAATTGAAGAAGCCTGCATGGGTACGATTATAATTTCAGAGTTGAAATTTGGTTGCTCTGAGCTATATATTATATTTTTTTCTTCAAGAGCTATCGATGATGCCGAACCTTTGGCCCAATAGAGCCCATCACGCCAAGGCAGAGGCAGTGCAAGTTTTCGGCGCAATATCACAACATCGAATAACACCACTGTGAGACGAGTCTAGTTTACAGCACAAGAGCCGTCTACACATACTGACAACGCACAAACGACATTAGCGAAAACTGTGCTGCCAGCCAATGGAGAAAAGAGCAATTCTCAGTTTCAACAAATGGTGCGAAGGTGTACGAGGTGCACCCCAATATGAGGACGCGCCAGGATAGCTGAACAACGATTTCCGATACAACGCACTTACTACGCAAAATAAGTAATTGAAAAGGAAATTTTAAAAATCCATTTTTTTTACAACACACCAAACAAAACTCTCTTGCTCTCTCTATGTGCAAAAAGCTTGCTGGAGTTAAAAAATCATCAATAAACTGCTTTCGAAGTTGCTTGCACAACATATGCCAACCAACATTATGCAATCGGCCAACCGAGCCGTCAACGGCGCATCCGACGCCGTCTGTTAGCTCGGCAATGCTTTCCAGACGTCTGCATCTAAGCCGAGCCTCAAAACGAAATCCGCGTGCGTACAACGCGACAAGATGCGCTTGCTTTCCGCCACCTAGACAACTTCAGAGCCAAGCCGAGCTTGAAACAGAGCTTGTCTGCAATCCGCGGGCCGGGTGTCTTCGGCATTCTGTGGCACACTTGTGCCTGGCTGACAACACGCATGGGCGTAACGGCAAATGCGTTCATGCATTGGTGCGATTCAGACAGCCGGTTTCCTTTTTTTTTTTTCTTCCACATTCGATTCCTCTTTCTCCCATCTTCACACAATGCTATGAAACATGTATTGATTAAAGTCCCTTAGAAGATAAAGAAAGGCGGCGTGGGGCTAGACGACCGAATTGCCGTCGCCGTCACAGACACCATTGCTGCTGCCATTGGAGTATGGGGATCCTTCGCCCATCTCACCTGCAACGAAAAGAGAAAAAACGGCAGTTTCGTAAATGAAGTGTGCTAAAATGATTGAACTGCGAAACTTACCCACTGCCGCCACACGTCATAAATTAGTGCCATAACTTTAACCTAAAAAAAAAGTGCTATGCAATTACTTTGTTTTTTTTTGTTTTTTAGACACAAGGGCTTAAGTTTCGAAAATGTAAACTGTTTCAGGCAAAACGGGAAAAGAAAAACACGTCATACTTACGACACCTTCGGGTGAACCAGTGCTGAAGCAGATAGTGGTTGCATTTCATTCATTACTGCTCTATGAATGTGCTTTCTAAGAAAAGCTTTATTTTCAATGCAATCCATCCCGTCATGTACTGAAGCATACTCGATTCCAACTAATGCTTTCTTCAATTAGACTAAAACGAAGGTGTGTTACAGAAACGAGTACAAATGCAGCCATCCTGTGTTCGGCAATTGCTAAATTAAAAACTAGTTAAGCAGTCCTTTCGAGCACTACCAGTGATGCAATCTTGTATGCATTCGCAATTCGGTGGGAGATGTCCGTTTTATCGAGTCATACACGATTGGCCCATTTGAGCCGTGACGAATGCCGCGACGTTCTATCTCACGTGAGCTGAAGTGTCGCTTGTCTGTTTTCGTCGGTTTCTTGGACAGAGGTGAACGAACGGTCAAAGAGAGGGTCTGTAATGAAACGAAGGAATTGAAATGGCTGCGAGGCGGCATAGATTGGATTGAAATGTAAGCGCTTCGCGCCTTTTCAGTATCCAGGCACTTTGAGAACATGGCGTTTTCTTTCTCTGTCACGGTATTTCGTCTCGCCTGAGCGGCATCTGCAGTCGAGCAGAGACGACGAAGCGAGGTTAGCGAGGCAAATGATGCATTCGAATAGTTGACTGAAGAAGAGTTCCGACAATGTTTTCGTCTGTCGAAACGAACATTGCGTATCTTGTGCGACGAACTTGAACCTATCATTGGATGCCAGCGAGCCAGTGGCCTGGAAATATACACCAATGTCAAAGAACGAATCGCCCAGGCCATTCGACGGTCACTCCCGTTTGTGCCTTTTTGATAGCGGCGGCATCGCAGTGGGCCTCAAGCACTTACTCTTTGGCTCAGTCTTTCTTCGTTGTTGTAGTCAGTCTGTCCGTGTTCATTGTCGTAGACGGACAGACAGGCCGATCGACGGATAGACTCACGGACAGAGAGACGGACAAACGGACGGATGGTCACACAGACAGAACGACAGACAGATGGACAGAGGATTCCAGGTTTACCAATAAAACCCTTTCAAGCTTCACCTCGCTCATCATCATTCACTCTATGGATATGCTATGATATTTTTTCAGGGCAGGCCCTTTATGGTCAAGTGCGTCACTTAGCTCTTGCGACAGCCACCGCTGGTCGGTGACGGCGAGTCTGTGCCCCAGCTCGATGGCTTTCGCTGCCAGCTGGGGATGTGTCTCCATGAAGACGAGACCCATCACGTGCCAAGCCTTGGAAATGCGGAGGAGGTGCTCTTTTTGGCTACCTGTTGAGGCTACCTGTTGGGCGATTGATTTTGCTCGATTGAGCCAACAGATTCAGAAGTCGCGCCATTTGAATTTAAATCTTGGCATACCTGCGGAAGCTCGAATCTGCATCTGACACCCGGTTGTGGAAGTCCGTTGTGATAGGTCGGAGGCTTTGGGAAAGTAGGACTGAAGGTTAAATTTAAATAGTGGTGAAGATACGAGTAGAGCAATTGCTTGAAACGAGGTTATACCTAGTGCTACCACTAAACGTCCCGCCAAATGACGACCCTGCTTAGAGTCATTTAAAAACAATAATGAGAAAATACAATTCGATCGCACCACATTCCATATGCAACACACTTCAGTAGTGTGCAATAACAGTCAAACATTCCTCAACACGTTAGAAGCACTTCTCAACTTGCTATACGGTCCCCAAGCCGACGTTAAAATTGTGATGCGGGCCTTCATTTTCCTGATTGGCTGTTTGCTTCCCCCTTCCCCACGTTCCTCGGGACCGATGCAGACTGCCCACTTTTCGACGGAACGAACGCAACACTTCCGTCCGAACTTGTGACACGTACAAGATTGCACCCCAGACCAAAGCCTGTCAGCAGGTCAAAGTTTAACACACATGTCTACCAACTTATGAACACTAAAATTCATAAAACTCCCTTTGCCCACGAAAGTGGGAAGGAGTGTTCTTAAGAACTTTTTTTTAAATGTTTGCCATAGAGAGATCTCTTGTAAGATACACCAGTACCATATTATTAACAATGGTTTTGTCTTTTCCACAATGCAGTTAAATGAAGCTAGCTTAGAAAGACTGAGACTTACAGACAAGGGCTGGCACCTTTTTTTTTTCTTTTCAGCACAATGTTCCAACAAATTTTCAATAAATTTGACTCAAAAGTATATAAATCATAGAATGGGGCCAACGTTTATAAAGTATAAGAAAAAAAAACTATCCTGCACTGTCAGAAAAGTGGGGGCTGGGAAAATGGCGGCAAGCGAAGCTTGGCTTGTCCATACCTACTATTTTTCTTTATTGCAAACACAATATGAAATACTTTCTTCTAACTTTTTCCTCCCCACATGTGGAGAATCTGGCCTTCACCCAAAAGCTTAGTCGCACAACAATTCTGTTGCAAAAGGCATTGATGACGGCCACACATGAAACAATTAAAGGCAGCATTGATATGTGGGCACGTGGAATGGACAGTGACATTGATAAAAGATCGAATTGCCGAATCAAACAGCTCATTGCCGACAAGCTCATCATCGAGAGAGCATCAGTTGTTGGAAAACAGTGAATACAAATATGCATGCGACTGAAGCACCAGGGCCCTACACTAACACTTCTTCACACTCGCCGGAACCGAGTTTTTCACAAAGTGCACCACCACCATCACCGAAATTTTAACTCATAGAAGCTGCGCTTGAAATACAGTAGGTTTGGCAGGTACGATCACGTTGCCGGAACAAACACAATGGGAGACAAACCCGACTGGGAGCTGGGCGAAGCATTGGGCACATTGGTGGGCACGGCAGCTGCGGGGCCCCAGACACGGATGGTGCAGTCGTCAGAGACGCTGACCAGCATTGACGGGCAGGCTGGGTTCCAGCTGACGCAGTTCACCGACCGTGAGTGACCCTGCAGCACGGCAATCGGCTTCTCCCATTTGACGTGATAGATGTACACCTTGTTGTCTGCAAGTGCAAGCGTGAGAGGGAAGCAAGTCCCTTGTTGAGAACCAACAAAAAGAGTTTCCGAGACAAAGCGGCTCTGCACAAATGGCATGTTGCAAGTACGCTTCTCCTTGCACTGCACAGTCAAAACTGCATAAATGCGTGACAAGAGAATGAGGCACAAGTATGCACAAAGTTCACCGTTCTCCCTGCCAGATACTAGCGCATTATGCAAATACGTGCTACAGATGGCTACAAACAGCACTTAGGCTACAATGCACACAAATGAAAAATTAAGAGCTATTAAGAGTCCAAAACTCATCCATGATGTGCTTCCAGCTCCGCTGCCAGCTTCTGACACATGCAGCCCGCAGAACAATCCCTTCCGAGATCTGTACCTTTTATTCAGAGGGCACTGTCACTGATGCCATCGCTGTCACTACACTACACTACACCATCGCTGTGTCACTATAACCAGATCTGTGATGTAGACTCTGGAGGCTAAATACAGCACATTTAGCCTAGAGGACTTTCCAAGTCTGTTAAGGGACACTAAAGGCAACTACAGTAAAATCTCGGTAGAACGAACAAAATGTAAACGAACATTTCAGACGAACGAACTTTTAAAAAATCCCACGCCGACTGCTGATAGTTTCAATGTAAAATTATTTCACAACTACGTACTTCAGAATACCAAACCTTTCAGAATAACGAGCTCTAAGTTAGTTCCACATTATATTGACACGTGTTTATATGAAAAAAAACGATGATAGGAATGTTTCGTAGATTCCACACGTGTCAATATTAACGCCTCAGTACTTCGAACTCATGTTCTGAAATTCGTCGCGACCACCGGAGCGGTACCGAAGTACACAACACAGCGAACGAACGCCTTGCTTCTCGGAAGACGCGCGATGGTGTGGAGGGAAAAAAAATTGGCCCCGTATTTGCATATTTCACTGCAAATGTTGTCTAAAGACGATAGTCTTGCGTGTGGAGTGAAAAAAATGTTTATTTGATGTTCTGCGCAAGAAAATCGGCAAATTGTATTCTGGAAGCACTGCGTTAGAGAGTCTCGATCCGTGCAGCGAAGGTGAATGAGCGCATCAAGGCCCGTTAGACACGAGTGCCATCTGGCAGATATCTTCAAAAATGAAGGAAAACGTACGCGCCCACAGACAATGACGCTCACCTGTCTTGGAGGCGATAAGGTGTAGAACGCAAAGCGATGAGCAGGTGCCACCACCGTGTCGGCTTAGCAAAGTGTTGCTTTTTGGGCATCGCGTTGCACTGTTAGCGCAGCGCAATAAACGCTACGGTCCTTAGAATTACTTACATTGCCTTCTCCAGTATAATGACACTCATACAAAATATCGACGTGTTGTCATGGTACCTCAGATATGCGCAATAATTGCTTTTTAATTGACAATCGCAGAAGTATGAACGCTGAAACTTGAGCGACATTGATGAGCTCTGCGGATGGCGTTGGCCGTTTAAGGTATCGTTTGATGCAGTTTGGGGTATCGTTAGCACGGACAGACAAATGTACAGACAGACAGAAAGACGCACCAAACTTTGTGTCGAAGGTCCCCAAGAAAGACTTTTTGCCTTTAAAAAACCGAAAGGACAACTTTTTTCTTTCTTTTTATTGAAACGCTGATGCTGCAGGTTTACAAGCGCAGAGGCGAGGGCAACATGGGAAGGCAAGGTCAGTGAAGCAGAGGGCAGAGTAGGAGTTGCGGAACAGGAAGCATGGGCGCGGAAAACCTGAGACAGCGAGAAAGCAGAAAACTAAACGCGAGAAATTTTCTTTTTTAGCTCTTTCTTTTTTTCGGACATGACAACCGCAAAGCTTTGGGGTTTTTTTCATCTGTCACTTCTAGATGTGATCTAAGAGGCCTAAGGGGTATAGGTATTCTCCGAAGAGGCCTTGTCAGTCGTGTTCATCTTTTTGGCGATTACTTATCGCGTCTGCAAAGCAAGTCTGCATTCGTGCTGCGGTGCTACTACAATGAGTTCATCTCTGCTCGCGACGAAGAAGCAGGAGCAGTTTTTGCTAAGGAGAATGTGGATGTGCTGGAGGCCTTCGCGCTGCAAAGTTTGTGCTGCACGCATAAAAAAAAAAAACAGACTTCTTTAAGGAAACGTGCATTTATTAGTGTTCACTAGCGCATTTGTTTTTTATCGTGAAAAAACGACCTCAAGAAACCACTCTTGTAAAAGTAAGTCATTTTGGTCGGTGGAAAAAAAGTCTTTATGGTTGATTTTTGGGCTTTCATTATAATGACCTTTCAAAATAATGAACAAATTCCACAATCCCTTGAAGTTCGTTATACCGAAATTTTACTGTAACAATTTAAGTCAGAATGAAAAAGCGATGTTTGAGCATATCTAATACGTCAATATTATCAACAGTAGTACTCTACTAACCAAGAAATTAAGTCAATGTACGCCACCATATGCACCACAAGTGCGACGTTTTAGAATAATCCCAATGACATTAAGAGTTTCGAGTACAATTAGTCACTAGTAATCAAAGTAGCTGCAATAAATAAAAACATTTCACGCATTACCACAAGCAATAAAATTCTGCTTGTCCGTTTTTGTTTTATTGATGGGAAAAAAGAACCGCTAGGCGCTACCATGAGGAACGATGTGAGTGGATCAAAAGCACACGGTCGCGTCTCAGTGGTAGTTTCAGTATTGAGTACTGCTGTGTGTGTGTTTTCCACACTCATATAAGTCACTGCGACGAAAAGGTCAGCAAAATGCCGTGCGCATCTGATGGTGTCAGATGCTCGAATTGTGTACGCTGCTTAAACTGCAGCAAAGAAAATTACATGATTTTCTGCAGGACACCGCAAAGTCGAAACGGCCAGGTGTCCTGCCTCTGCGACAGCGTGCAAAACAGCCAAAAGATCTGGCAGTTTGTGCGCTGCGATTTTGTGCAGAAGATTACAAGATCAACCACATCTAGGACAAGGCTTGCAATGTGCCCTTCCGAGAAGTGCTCTGCTGCTACTAGTGTCAGTGGCCATGCAGTAAAAGCGGGAAAACATTGAGCAAGGCCACTGTCAAGTCGGAGAGCTTGTTCAGGCACTGCAACCAGCTGCCCTTTCAGCAGAACATCCACAAGGGTGGTACTTTATCACAAGGGAGTACTGTTGGCCTCTCTCACAACATGACGGAGAATGCTTTCGCACCTTCACTTCCGCTGGCAACAAACGTCTGGTTCACACCGCCAAAGCATGACCGGATGGTATAGTAGCCCTGCGTGACACCCTGGAATTTCCGCACCAGCACCTTGTCATCCAAATCCCACATGTGCACACCCTGCAAGAGAAGTAATAAAAAGGGTATGTCACTTACTCCTTTAGGAGAAGTAATAAAAGGAGTGCATCACAAACTACTCCTCGAAGAGGTATATTTTGTCTCCACAAGCCCATTTACCCATCCACAGTGGGACAAAGAGCTTTTGTAGCACATTTGAATGACTTTTATCACTTTTATCATTCTGCAGCAGTGCAGAGCTCTCTTAAAAAAAAAAAAAACTGAAAACATCTTGTCCCAGTTAAACGTCGTTCTGTTTGCAGATGCTAAGGAAGCACAATCATGATCACTGTTACTTTAGTAGACTGAAGCACTAAATTTTTATACCTGAATTGTATATCACGCATCAGTCCATACGCACTGCACAGATAACTGAAAAAAATCGACTGCATTGCCAAGTTTTACCTATGTCACACTCCAATCTTATATTGACTTGGTGACACTGCTGCGAGATGTCGCAGGTCGCATTCTGCGTGGTTACAGCACGGTATCACTCTCACACACGAACCTTGGTCTTGGGCGATCAACCTAGGATCGTTTCTGCACGCAGTCTCTGGTAAGTACTCTTTATAATGCATTAAACATACGATAGGTACAACAGTGATGTCCTTACATGCAATGCACATTTTCAACATGGCACACACAAGGTTAGGTAGTTTTAGAGCAAACGATCCCGCAGCAGACAATCCCACAACTTGTGACATTGCGTGCCATGATGAAATGGCGGTAATGATATGTAGGCAAAGCTTAAAAGTCGTAGTGTTCACATGATTATGTCATGTCAAAATATGCCCTGAAAGCTCTGTATGAGAACACAGTCACCTATTGGGACCCTTCAGTCTCTAGAAAGTTTTAGCCATAAAGGAACCTAGTAGCCCTCATAATTTAGTTTCTCTACTTGGGAGAAAAGGCACCACACTGAGTTCTTATGCTCCCTGATGACAGTAATCTTCCTCTCTAAGGGAATTCCTTCGATCCCTAAAAAGAATAACGTAGTGGCAGTAGGGTCACTCTCCTGGAAGTTCCCGTGCTTCCTATAAAGAGGAGGGGAGCCCTTCAGGAACCTATTTATACCTTACAATACACTTGCTCTGCTCCCTGGAGGTTGCTTGAGAGATTAGAAGGACCACACTGGTTTCCTGTACTTTCCAGAGAACGCGGAATAGTTGACTGCCTTGACATTCAGTACCCCCTGTTGTGCAGTTCATGTTACTAGCGAGGTGCCAACAGAAAAACATCACCTAAAGTGGTACAGCAATGAAACACTGTCCTACGTCCCTCATGTGCTTACCTGTGTGGAGAGGTTGAGCAAAGCTAGCCGCCCCGTGTCGTCGACCGTAAATGATATAATGGGGTGCTCCTCCTGGACTCTGCACCAGATAAGGAAGCCAGTAGGAATCGGTCAGCCATTACTATACTGGTCTTTTTCGTTCAACAAGATTTTCCACACAAGATATTCTACTCACAGACCTGTACAAGTATTTGTGAATAGCAGAAATGTGCAGATACAGCTTTGTTCATCTGACCATAAATGAAACTTAAAAGAGAAGTTTGAATTTGTGTACATGGGCATCAGGTAACTTTTATCACCATGTTTTTTTATTTCTTTGCGTGTTTTGTTTTCCATTTATTTCAGCACCCTTTCTTGATTTAATTTTTACTACACACTGTAGGGGAAAGCAGCAGTTTATGTGCTCTTTGAAAGACCTTAATTTCTCCCTAGAAATCTGCGTACAACGTAACAGAAAATACCACAGCAGTACATAAATGCGCAGTTGGTGAAATGTCGGGAAGTACGTACACATTGAAATCGGTGAGATCATCAAAAACGTATCCCCGGATTCGGTGGTGGGAGTCGGCGGCCAGTACCGTGCGCCCGTCCTTGCGGCAGTGCAGGCCCTGTACCCGAACGCCCTCCCACGAATCCAAGACGTTGCCGTCCAGGTCCTGCATGAATGAGTCACCCGACTCGGCTCAATACGCCGGCATCCCACGAGAAGCTGCGAAATGACATCAGTTGAAATATCTGCCTGGCTCAATTCAATGAGGTCTTAAACTGAACGCAGGAATGCAATCTTGCGATTTCTTACAAGCGAAAGTGAAACCGGCACTTTCCACTATTCTACCACAGAAATATAGCTTTGTCATTTTTGGCCAGCATGCAAAACAAGTGCTCTTGCTTTCTTTAGTGTAAATGCTAGGTTAACTACCATATAAAAATTGTTCTTTGTTCTTCTCTATGTAAAAAATATCTCAAGCCAAGTGTTACAATGCAATATTTAACCCTTTCACTGTTCGCTATTTCTGGTGGTGACGCACCCCACGTGTTGGCTTGGCCTTGAGACTACCAGGAAGCTCGAAACACAGAGAAATGGCATATTGTGAAGTCAAGATGACAGATGGGGATGGGAAATGTAATGCAACAACGTCACTCGCTGCTGATAGCAGCAACCGAGCAAATACAGCAATCAAGTCATGTCAGTGAAGAGGCACCAGCGCAATCCACTGAGCAGTGCTGCAGCAGGCAAGGCAACAAAATTTAAGTAAAAAGGGGAGGGGGGGAAACATGCAAACCCGTGACAGGTGGCGGAAGAACTCTTGTACCTGTAAATGCACATGCACTGCATGACCACTCTGCTCGAGACACTAGCATGCGCAGAGTCATAATGCCTCACAGAAAAGGGTGGGCCTGGTCCCTTTGTACTCTTCAATACTTGTACCAACACAACAACGAGGGGTGAAAAGACATGCTTCTAGAATGATTCAAGAAGTGGCACCAACCAGTAGAATCCTACTGAATACCGCCATTTTCGCGATTTCACACGAATGTTTGAATCACAATGCAGAATGTACTGGTATGTCAGTGACACCACGTGGGGAGAAATGGGAAAATATACCCATATGTCAGTGACAGCAAAACGGTTCATAACGTTTGCCAAGCTGTAAGAACTTGGTAAGAAAAGCAGTTGTACGAGGACAGACATCAAGCAGCATACATGCAGTAAAACTTCTCATTTGCAACTTCTATGGTAACTGAGAAAACGTATAGATGAAAACATCGACTATTTTTTTTAAACTGGTGGACCAACGGGTGAATGCATTATTTTAAATGCCGATTGAGAAAATAAGAAATGAGAAACTAAACACAGAAAAGAATGAATCATGTACGACTGCTCTTTGTCAGCAAATGTGCAGAGCATATGAAGGGGCGTGACCACTCACGCATTGGTAAAACTGCCCCCGGATACCGCCCGAGACAAACTTCTTTCCGTCGCGGTGCCATGCGCATGACGTGATGCTGTCTTCAGGTTGGTTCGTAACCTTCACTCGTAGCTCACCAGTCTGAAAGGAGAAAAAAAAGAGGGGGGGGGGGGGAAGAGTGACAAACATCCCACTTTTCAGAACATAAAGCATAGCCTTGACTAATAACCAGTCTCATTAGCACTTTTTTTTTTTCACACGTATGAACCAAGAGTTTATCTCTCCTGCTTTGTTCAGATAAGATACCTTCTATCTCAAAGATCTGGGTTTCACTTTACACAGAAGTTCTCGCATTCACATGTTATGCTCAATGATGGTGCAAACAAAAGGCACGTGAAATTTACTATGTGTTGATGACGAAATTTAGGACATGTTGAACGGTGATGATGCAGTGCTGCATCTCACAGAAAGCACCAATCCTCTCCAGTGTCAGCAGGATGGTGAGATGCTTGAAATGCTGTGCTGCTTTCACCAAGCCATAATGTAACAATGGAGTAAATCCCCTTAAGATGCAACGTTCACGCATGTGGACACAACTCGGTTTTTGCTAGTTCTTTGGACTAGTGGCCAAGATAAAGCAAGGTCATTGTGCACAGGATAAATTAAAACTTCAGCACGACCACTGTGTCTTTTATTAAATTCCATGTGCCGCATATGACTGCAGACGACCCCTTTACTGGACACATTACAATGTTGGATGGCTCGGTTGATGCGCCACGCTCCATGCCCAACGTCAAAAGTATTATTTTTCTTTGGTCTAGATGTACATAACCTAAAAAAATTTGCACATGCGTTTTGAACTTATGATTTTATTGTTACTATGCAAAAATAGAACACGATTGACATCAAAATAATTAAAATTTTAATTAGGTGCTAATTAGTAATAGTTACTCAAACCTCACACAAAAAATATTTCAATGTCATGTATGCCTTTGAATTGCGTTGAGCAAATTAGAAATCTGAAGCGTCTTAAAGGGGCCCTGCAACACTTTTTGAGCGTCGTCAGCAAACGCTGCCGATCGGTAGGTAATAGACGCTCCCGAGAACACGCAAGCCAAATGTTATAGCGCAGCACTGTGGGAATTGAGGCTAGCCTGCCGCCTTTGCGCGGGCTATGCCGCCTCTTTCTGCGTTCTCATGTCCCGACATGACTCTCCCCTCCTACGTGGTCAGCCGCACTGGGAAAGCAGGGAAAGACGCTTAACCCCTCTCACACGGTAGTGGAAGTCGACTATGGCGCCGCGCGGGAAGTCTCTCAAGACGTTTTGTTTCGCGCGCACGTTGGGATTGAGAGAACCTTTCCGGGGACGACATGGGGTAAGCACGCAGTTCTTTGCTGTCTGTCGGCTCCTTTTGTTTGGGGCTTGTTCAGACTTTGCTAACAGCGCCTCGCACCCGCGGCGAACGCTTACCATTTGTTGTCCTTTTCCAATGTTAGTCCAAAGAGTGGGGCGGTGTCCTAGTGCATGGTCAAACTGTTCCGACCCATATTTCTCCGAAGCCAACGTGAGCGCCTTTGCCCTCACTCGAGCTATCAGGCCCTTTGTCCCCGTAAATCACTTTTATCACGAAGACGTGCTCGCGGCATCCCTTCTCGCGCGAGGCGTGTATAAGCCCCATTTGCTTTTCCGCCGTGCCTTCGCAACGGGCTCTGTACTGCGTTTTTGGTGTTGCCGCAGACAATAAAGTGTTGCGACCTTGAACAGTAACGTGTTCTCGTCACGGCGACGGTTAAAGCGTGCCCTGCGGCTCACTAAGACCGAACCCATGCTAGTGGCCGTAATACTTTGAGATACACATACACTACAGCGTGCAGCCTAGAATTCACAATAAATTATCAAGGTCAGCTATAAATTGCTTTCTCTTCCCTCGACAAATAACGGAACATGCTCAAAAATCACACGTAAATTACCCATCTATCAGTCATTAGCCGATTTGAACATGGTGCTCTCGGTTTTTACAGAGATCACCACGAAAGGCGGTCACTTGTCCACTCGTGCGCGCGCGATCTCACTGAGAAAGTCGCGTATTCGAAGAAAAAAATAAAAAGTGCTCAAGGTCACAAGGACCATGTGATGTTTTCTTTTTTTGCCCCTCTCATTTCTCCCTGCTAAGCTTCCAGTGCTTTCTTCAGGATGGGGAAAGAGAGAATGCGATTGCAGCGTGCGACAAATCTTTGTAACTCCGCTCGTACTGGACAGATTTTAAAATTTTTGTGGCGTTAAATTTGTGAGGCAATACACTTCTGCAGCGAATTAATTCCATGGTTACTCAAAAAAAGTGTTTCAGGGCCCCTTTAAGGAGATATGACAGTTTCTGGTATAATGCTTAGAAGGGTGAAAGCCATCATTTGCAGCGATGGGCACTTAACCCAAAGATTCTAAAAACAGTGGCACCATACCCCTGCCACACAACAATAATAGCCATCTGCTAACATTTCATATCTTGAAGACTCTTGAGCTTACAGCTTTTCTATCAAGTGTCACACTGACATCATGCATGCTGTTCATGATTTTGGAGTATCGGCAGGTGGCATTAAAGTTGGGAAAGGAATGAAGGATAGACAACATAATGATTACTTTAGCTGTTTATAGAACAAGCAAGCCTGACAGCCCAAATAAACCATCCATGACATGAGAAGGGTTGAGCAAAACCAGAGACACCCACCTGAACGTTCCAAAGCCAAACATCCGCGCCATCCTCGGGCCCACATACAAGCAGCATCGAGTCGTCGGGACTCCAGGCGGCGTAGGAAGCACCATACGGGTGGCCTTCCAACGTCCGCTTCAGAGACAGGGTCAGTGTTGCCTACACAAAAAGAAAGGAATAAAGACGCCCTCTTATTACATGCTGATAATTCAACGACGGCCAGGTTAAGCAAGAGGCAAAGGCGACAACAGTCACTCGATGTCTCCATGTGCCACTCTTAAGATGCATACTCTTTACAAACACACTCAAGGGTGCGACTGAGCAGATCAAGCACCGGCGAACTTGCACCCGTCAGTTCGCTCACGAGAACAATAATCAATTGGTAATACAATGCAAATTGCTTTAATCAACAATCAATCAGTCTACTGTAAGTGGCACGTCGCAGGAAATCAAAATTAACTAACAGATAGGCGTGCATCTAAATTAGCTTGTGTGACCAGTTGCTAGGTGAGCACAAAACATTGCTGCCTTTCACTGCAGTAGTGACCCACTTTCTACCCAATGATTCAACCATCTAGAATTGCTCAAGATGCAACAGTTGCTATAACGAATGGTAAAACTTTCCTACACTGCAGTTACATCGCCTCGGCAACAGACAGTCACTGTCCACAAGCATGTTCAGTTGGTGCTTTATTAGGTAGATCGTGCTTAACCAAGCGACCTCCTGAAATGTACGCAAAGAACATTACATATAACACTGTAGCCTTTGCACTTGCGTTTCTCGCCTTAGTTTCGCATTTTGTTACACATGAATGCTGTGGTTTGCATAAGTGCATTTGCATAAGCGAAGCTGAAAAGTGGCTAACGCACGTGCGCCAGTCAAACTCACCGGATTGACCTCCCAGATCTTGACAGTGGAGTCCTTGGATCCCGTAGCGAGAAGCTCGCCGGAATGAGAGAATCGGCAGTACCACACCTCATCACAGTGGTCATTGAGAATCTGCGTAACACCAACAAGACAACTTCTACACAAATTGTAGTTTTCTTTTACACTTCTTCAAACTCTTTCAAGCAAAAACAGGGTTTCCATGGTTCTTCCATTGTCAAACTAGTGCACCATAGCTGTGACATAGATAGCCCTGTGCCCAAAGTAAAGTAGCACATGCCAAGTTTTCAAGAATAGAAGCAGAGGCCCGTTGGGGTGTCTCTCTGTCATACGAAAGTCATTTGGCTTGCTTACACTACGTTTCTTGAAAACTAGGCGCTCACAGATTTTGCGTTAAAGATACATTTTCACGCAGCATACCCAACATTTGTGACCTTTAAAGGGGTCGTGAAACAAAAGTGAAGTTGCCCAGTTGTAATTTTCGCTGCTCTGTCACGTGTTGCTTTCACTCGCTCAGAGCAGCGTCCCAGTTTTTTTCTTACTAGTTGCATTAGGTTGTGTTTTACGTGGCTTAGTCCTCACTATGTTTACCATGTGTGTCGTGAGAGTGCCGCACAACTTGTCAAAATAGAAACAATGTTCACGACGGCTTTACGGTGCCGCCATTGAGATGGTATGATGCTATGAATCTCGATCAACTATGGCTCAGCAAACGTCACTGCATCACCATGTTTTGTGGACGACAGAGACTTTTCATAGGCAGCCTTAAAGTAAAATAAGTGGTACATTACAGGGGAATGTGAATGGGGAATCAATGTTGCGTTTTCATAGCTACTAAATGAACCCTGACAATGAAACAAGTCCATGTATTGAATGGATGGCCAGGACTCTGAATACACACGTAGCTAAAAATTTTCTGAAAATGTTTCACGAAACCTTCAAGTGCCAGCTATGTCGTGTTAAAGGAGGAGCATACACACAATCCAGATAACGATTGTTGTGTGAAAAAATGGTGGCTCATTGGGTAAACCTATTTTTAGGTCGACAAAAATACCTCCAAAAGACTGTAACCATTTTCAGAGCATGACAAAAAAGATCTCCTAAAGCAGTGGTCTCAAATATATTCAGACATTTCGTTGGCGATCCACGGAATGAATAAAATGTTTGTGACTTTGCTAAATGGTAGACGAACTACGCCGTCGCCTATTTCGATTATTGCTGCTTTGTTCGGGTAAGCTACAGGGGGTGGACTGGTAGAAAGCATTTCTTTTTCCTGTCAAGCACCTCACGCAGTCCTCCTTTGTTGAAAGATAACCGTGGAACAAAGTCTATATATCAAATCCCCACCCAGATTTGAGTGATTCTAGAGATCACATTGCCAATATGTTTCTCAATTCCAGATGCTGAATCCCCTACAGAAATTAATAATATGTGAGGTGTGAGAAATGCACTCTTTGAAATGGCTGAATTATGTTACATTTTGTTCACCCCCCCTCATAAACTTTTTTCACTGACCGGCCCTCACAAAACTAAATATTAAAACTGTGACCCGCAAGCTGAGGTGAGTTTGAGGCCTCAGTTCTTAAGGGTGTAACCGACTCCCAAGACTGAAAAACACCCTAAAGTATGCAGCCGTTTCAATGTGGCCGAAATATGCCTCAAAGGGCATAATTGTATAAAGAGTGACTAAGAAACTCCACAGAACAAACAGTTTTTTTTGTTTTTTTTTTATGACAAATACACCTCGCGTGTAACTGTCTTCAGAGTCATAGAGAGACACCCCAAAGGGTGTCGCAGTTTAGGGGGACAGAAATATGCCTCAAAGGGTGCCACTGTTAGGCACATGCGGCACCCGTCAGTTACCTGAATTGTGCGGCAGGGAAACTGCTCCCGGGAGCAGACGTGGTCGGTGAGGAGGGAGCAGTTGTCGTCCAGTATGAAAGACGGGTCGCCCCGTAGCTGCGTGGGCTCGTTGTGGTACGTGCACCGGTCACGCTGAAGCTCCACCGCCTGGCCCAACAGCGCCCGCAGGCGCCGCGGAGGGAGCATTACGTTCGCCGGCAGAAAGCCTGCGCACACACCCGCACGAGCAAAGACTTTTGAGCCGAGACACGTGCGCACATCCAAGCGGCCAAGGGGCTGAGTGAGCACTCGCAAACAACTTTCAGAGACAACGAATAAAAATGCCATGAAGGCAACGCACACACGAATCTTGCATGAAGGGTCCTCTATAACTGCACTGTCTCAAAGTCAACTTTTCTGAGAGGTCTGAAATTTCGTAGCAGCAGACACACTGTGGAACATGAGACAGACGTCTAATCTACTGAAATGCTGCTGAAAAACTTTCCTATGTTAGGCGACCGCCAATCAAAGTGCTATATTGTAGCAATGCCTTCTGCCTGATACAGTGCGTGTCTTATCACAGATATAACGAAAACAGCCCTAATGATGGGGCAACAATAAGGGGACGCAAATACGGAGCCGACTAAAAACCAAGCTGCATTGCGCTTTGATGTTTAATTTACACTCTATCCCAATACTCATCATGGACAAAGTAATACTCCACAAAACATCATTTACGGTGATATCTAGCTAGCATCCTCACTTGCTTACTCGCACTGACAGTACTTTGAGCACATACCCACTTAACACATTAAAATTTGCTTGCTAGTCAATGCAGTGTTTGCCTTGAACTTAAATACTTAAAACATTAAATACTTTAACCATTAACTTAAATAAACAATCAATTTGACCACTTATCAAGCAGGAAGTCTATAAATCTCCTCATAAAATGTGTCGTTATAGAACGGTGAACCATAATCAGGGCATAGCACCTCAGTTTCTGCAATGTACAGTACATTCAGAACTATAAGATCTATTGGTACGAGTGATTCAAAAAGTGAGGAGTGCACTAAATGCTTTTTGTTTTGCAGGCAAGAAAAAAATCTATGACCTTTTAAGTTTTTTTTTTTTTTCCACAAGTGGCACCTTCCCCTCAACTTCCATCATAAACAGCCCGACATGCATCTGTCAGTTTCCAATGCAGTGAAAACAGCACAGGAGCTCTAAAAAACTATCACCTGGCACACATAAAATTAGTTGCTTCTCTAGAGAAGAGAATCTGCCTCATTTGCACCGCTCTCCTAACCTAATTCGTTCTGAGGGCCCCTGGCACAGATTCTACAATTACCACAAAAACTGCTGCCCTTTTAAGCTACAAATCTAACCTCACAGCCAGCCTGTGCATTTTCACACAACTTTCCTGACAGGCATGCACAGATTGTTGTCCTGTCGTTGTTCGTTCTATTTTTTTTTTTGCGAGCATTCTACACAATCGCTACAGTTGCATAAATTTCTATATTTTAGCTCACACGACTGTCTGTCTTTTGACTGCAATAAACATTACCTCAAGAAATGATAATGAAAGCACATCAGCAACCACCAAGGACGAATGAAAGAGTGAAGAGATTTATACTCACTCTGGAGTTTTTCCATAAGCTTCTGCCGCGATGTGAGCGTCTTGCCGTCCCACTTGGACAAGGACCGAAGCTCTTCCGCACTGCCACACATCATGTAGCTGCGAGCAGATATGCCCAGAGAAGCAACGAAGAGAGCAAATACATATTTCCACAAACCGCTTATTGAATTCACTTGAAAATTGCATGTGCTAGCGAGATTGCACCACTGTGCATAGCATCTCTAAACGCTGTGCCAAGTCTACAGAACAATAGTGAGATCGACGATGGTGATTATGCGCTAAAACACGCGTATGGTGTGCGCTTCAACTTTTTTAACCTTTAAATTCAAAACAAATTTCTGTTAATTTTTATTGCCATTTTTTTTCTTTTTGTACACAAGCTGTTGTGTAGGAATGCATCCAAAAATCATTTTAAAAATGGGAGGGGGGGGGGGGGGGGAAATGTAGCTTGCATTAGCGATGCAAGGCTAAAGGCACAGCGGAGTTGATTGGTTCCTAGCTGGTCCTGGCAATACGCCGCAGTGATGCTAAGTCATGCAAAGTTATACAAAGTAATGCCATGTTATTTCAAGTTTAAGCCAAGTCCAACCCATACGCCGCTTGCCATTCCACCTGTACTACGTGCTGGATGGACTACTTTAAACGAGTCAGGTCCAACAGTCTCGCTTGGCAGCGTACTGCAATTTCCAGTAAGCGACTTTCTCATCGGCAGTGCGAACATTCTTTGGCCTCTCCACAACTGCATCTGGCACCACACGCTGCCGCTGCATGCTGGCTTTGTACAGAATGAAGGAGTGGATGCGCAGTTGGTCGTGACGTCACACCTGGCACGACCAAGAAGTGCGTGCAAAGTCCAGGTGGCATAGCAGTGTATAAGCAGGCGCACAGCTGTGAAACCAGTTGCTAGACAAGGCACGAATATGTCATCTCTGCGCATAGTTTTTTTTTTGTGTTCACATTGGACACATTACAGCCAGCTTAAACAACTCCGCTGTAAATGAGAGAAATACGATATTCAGTTGCTGCCATTATGGATAAGCTTTTCTACTGCAGTAGGCACAGTAATGACCATAAATGTTAATCACAGCATTAATTACACATTATTAAAATGATGTTTCTTATTTAGATAGGATATGTGATAGCTCCCTCTCAGCTTAAAAAGGAGAACTGCAGTCCTTTCTGAAAAGAGCCCATTGACAATTTAAAATTTCCGGAAAGTGGTCAGTGAGAATTCGTGCAGAGTGATGAAACTTAAAAAAATTACTAGTATTCATGTAACCTGATAATCGATTTATGAATTGTGATTTTTTTTAATTTTCACTATTACTTTGCAATATTTTGTGTACTGTTGTCGACTTATCTGCAGTTTTGTGCAACTTTTCCTTCTCCCTTCTGAAATACCATTGACCCTGAGGATATCCTAAACAAACTGTGTGGCAGACAGAGACTCTCAAGTACTCCTATTCAAATTGAAGTGTCGTGTGGCAGAATGATATCCCAAATAGCTCACTTCACCATGGAGTGCTATGTGGCAGATAGATGCTTCACATACACACTTTCTCGTTAGGCCATAACACTAGGCAAACAAACATAGTAATATTCATGCAAACTGTACACTGCAGAAAAGAAAATGTCCTGAAGGGCCAGTTTGCGCACGATACTGAGGGGGAAAACAGCACGAAAATGGGACAAGAAACAATGGCCACACGACACAAACTGCAGGCCTTTTGACTGAGTGAACCTCTGAATACTAACACTGTAAGTGGAACCACCTGTGCACCCCACTGCTGTGTTTGTTTGTTTTTTTTTTTTCACCTGGAGAGCTCGTGGACTCGTTCCACGTTGTGCCGGAGGGGCGAGAGCCCATGGCGGAGGCACTGGAGTGCGTCGAGCAACCGTCCTTCCTCTAGGTACTCCAAGTACTTCTGCTCCAACACTAGGAACAGCATCTCCTGCACAAGCATTCAGACCGTGAGCAAGGCTGAACTGTTTCTCCAACAAATTTTTGTAAAACACTTCAAATATGTTCATACTTTACGGGTATCAATGACAGAAGAGATGGAATTGGAGGAAACTTGAAAAACAGAAACGACGAAGATGAGACATATGCGACAGGACTGGCGCTTTACTTGCAACTGATGTTTATTTGAAACGAAAATCATGATATACCCACACACCAAGCTCGTACACATGCACACATCTCACAAATGATTGTGGGTGTGAGTTGTAGAACAGTCTTACAACATCGGATGAAACAACACACACTGTAAAACCTGCCTTCATTAATCTATTGGCTTGCTTGGACACATAAGGCTATATCTGGTGCATGCATGATTTGCGCAGGGCATTCATAAATCAAGTAGAAGCTATGCCTCTTTTTATAAGCTTGGAATGGACACTGTTGAAGGGTAAAACACTTTTCCTTGACCTAAGATTATAGCTCCAACAGGCCATGATTAGATGATAAAAAAACATTTCGTCTAAGTCGTTTGAGATTTTTAAGTTTCCTTTAATAATGGGCCAACTCCCACAAACCAAATGATAAAACAAACATACAGATTCAACTGATATTTCCCTAGAACTTACTGATGGCTTTTCTCATGAATAGCTATCAGAAGATGTTGAAGACAGTGTACAATCTTCCAGGATTAGTCTTCCAGTCGTCACAACGTGAAGTGTGGCCACAAATTATCAGAAGACAATTTTCGCATCAGCCCGAACACCTGCTGTGGCTTACGCAGAATATTCTAGACAGAACATAAAGGCCCTAACCTTGGCAAAATGTGAAATCATTGTCATTGGCACTATTGAAATACCTGAGAGAATCATGCTAATCGAATTCATTCCTACTTACAGTTTTAATACCCCACAAAAGATCAACAAATTGTCTGAAGCTGTGTGTGGAACTTTCGTGTTGTCTTATACCTTCAAGAGACCATATTCACTGTGTCTACTGGGGAAAATAAACAAAAAAAACAAGACAACAGGGGAATCATTCTCGCGGTGTCCACTTGGGCCTCCACCGATTGGCTGGAGCACGACGAGGAGCATGTCGCCTGTTTCCAGTCCTTCTTCCACAATGTAATTTCGACGCCACGCAGCTTTCATAACTTTTGACAATAATGAGAAAGACAGCATTTTGCCACAACGAATGCTATCCCCAGAGATCCGTTTTTGAATGCACATTTAGGAGGCCATGCACAGATTCTAACCATGTTAGCCCTTGAATTAAGTTTAACGAGGCTATTCATCTGATGCACCTGGAAGGTTGGTACGCATTCCCTGCATCGTTCTTCAAACATCTGAACGTGTTCGTATGAAATTTCAGACTTGTCAGGTTCGTTTGAGTCCTGTTGCTGTACATTTCGTCGACTTTACACACAGAGAATGCGCTGGCACGTTCTGTGTGTCGACGTGGGCAAGAGCACCATGTCATCACGACTCTCCAGTTTTCTTGCGTAACTGAACGCGCTCCGCCGAAGCGGACATGTCCACTCAGTGGACACAACGAGAGTCGTGCCCCAGAACTATGAAAAGGACACATGAACATGCGTGAAGAGACAAATAATGATGCTCGTACTTACCACATATGCTTGAGGTGACTCAAGTAGTGCCTTCAGCTCGCTGAGATCAGCCTCCGCCTGAAACATGGAGTTGTTTATCGTGAAGCAAGGAAGCTGCCATGCACTTCCAGATCTGATTACATCAAGAATGGTTGCACCACCTCGAAAGCCAATGTAGCAAAAGCCCATTAAAAAAATTCTATTTTACTTAGACACGCAGCTCTGAAAGCGAATGCCTTAGTGAAAGAAAAGAGATACACTTAATGAGTTTGTCATCACTGTACCCGTAACATCAAAAGTATCCGTGCATGCACAGCACAGTAAAAAGGGACCTTCATTGGTGGTGGTGGCTGTGGTTACAGGAAGAAAAAGACGCCCAATTTCTGCAGCTATTGAGAGAACACGGCACAGCGTGTGGACTTTCGTTGAAGATGCAGTACCTGCTTTAAAGAAGCCCCAAGCTAACCCTAAAGCAAACAACTTGAACCCTTCTAGGTTATGAGGAAGGAAAAAAAAACTCATAAGATGCATTATGTTATATGCAAATATAAAGCAATATGCATATTTATTAGCTTGCATGCCTCAAAATCATAACTATGCTACCACTGAAGGCCAGAATACTTGGTAAATACTATTAACTGGATATAATGCACCACAACCAATGCTTCATTTCTATCATTTAGTCACCTGCTGCGCTCACTTATTGTCTTTTTGCCCTTCATATTAACTGTAGAGCAAACGTACAATCTGTATGGATTCCATGACATCAATTAATTATTAACTCAGCTAGCAACCACATATAGCAGTGTTTAATCTAGCAGTAAAATAGAAATCGTTAATCTAATAATCTAGACATCTACAAAACTAGGAAATATAAGCTTGATGCTCAGATAACTTCAAAATGCCTGTGCAATCATCGATGTCAAAATGCACTCATCAGCACAATGTTATGACATTTCATGTATTTTTTTAAGCAGCACCAGGCAAAATAAGCGCATGAGAATTCATGTTTTCATTTGTAACATGACTAAAACAGTTATAAACTAAGAACCCTCAGTAATGTCCTACGGGCCCTGAGGGTATTCTAATAAATAAATAAATAAATAAACCTTGTGATGAATTCATTTGTAGCACGAAGCAATGAGGAAATTTTCGCTTTCTTGAACCTCGTTCCATCTTGCAGGCTTTTGTTGAACTGATTTTCTATATTCATCAAAAGACCTGTGCTTTTTAGTGAGCCAATTCGGCTTTACACTCCAACCTACTAGACTACTGGATTGCTCCGACTGAGAGCAACTGCTTCAGAAGGACGCGAGTCTCAAGTTCAAATCCCAACCAGGGCTAATTTTTCCCTCAACTGGGAAACTTTCTCAATGAGAAATCCATGCCGGTTTCCTTAAAACTTCATGCTACACAAATGAATGGACAGTAAACCTCACCTTCAAAAACTATCCACTGTGGGGTTTCCCAAAACTGATTTGCCTTGAAAGGCCCCAAAACCACTGAGAGGTTGAAACTTCATGGTGGTGCTTCAGTTTTGCCCTAGCCTACCATGAACACTAAGCTGTGAGAATTTTTCAAAACACTGCCATAACAGCGGAGTAACATGCGCACAATCAAACAAGAAAGGGCCTTGATCGTTTCGCTCTTTTCTTCGCTATGCTCCAATCAACAGCTCGTCTGCCCTCATATCAAGCGCTCTCACGGTGTGAGGAGAATGGGCGGCAAGCACATGTACCATACCCGTGAGCAGACACAAACAGGTACTGTGCATGGCGAGCAGATGAAAATCACATCACGGGAAAACGCTGAGGATTAGTCAAAAGCCCCGAGAGCAGAGGGGACTGTTTCTTGGAATTTTTGGGGCATTTGGGGCTCATAGCGTTGCTGCATTTTGCATTGTCGATCGTCAGGGCATTCTGAACTCAATGCTCGTGTTCACTTAAGATGTTAAAGAATTGTCAGAGGTAGTTCAGGGGCTTTTTAAAGGGCTTCAAAGCACCCAGAAGTCGAAATTTAGTTGTGTTGCAAATGTGCACAAGTTCACAATAAACACGTAGCTGCAAGAACTTTTTGAAAAGGTGCCGCAATAGCAGAGTTATGTGCATCTTACGATAGAAATGCAGCCCCTACTCATTTTGCACTTTCTTTCACGGCCGAATGTTCCTCCTCATTGTGCAAGGAAGATAAGCAGGGAGTGCATGTATCTGCAGGCAGACAAAGAAGTTCTTTCTGCTGTTGACATGACCAGACACTACTGGTGACGTTATGAGCAACACTGGGGATACTGAACGGCCTGAAGATGAACACTGGATTGTTTCTTTGCTTTGGAGTGTGTGCCACATTTGGCACGGCACTCTGAATCTAACGGGTGTGTTTACTCAAAATGTTAAAATATATATATATATATATATATATGGGAGGTGGTTCAGGTGCCCTTTAAAGCGCTTATGCTTTCTTAACGGAACAGTGCTACATGACCGTAATGCAGAACAACCCTGCACCTTCGCCCAGTCTCCATCCAGGACATGCGCCTGGAACTTGGCCGCAGCGGGATGGTCCAGGCCACATCCAGACTCCTGGATGAGCTGTTCTGCTGTGCGGCTGCAAGTAGAGTGCGCCACAGGGCAAACTGCATTACTCGTCATCATTTGGCATAATATGTCAAACGTCCCCGTTGAAACATTCTATATGCAATTCCAAAAATCCGCATGACATCCACAAAAGTTTACAGAGAATATGCGGAATTCATGTTCCATTATGGTGCATTCAGACGACGGAGCGAATCTGGATTTGTCATGGACGCAGACAGCTAATCCACGGATGATCCGCCTGCAGGCGCATCCACACACCGGACGGAGTCCTAGGAGAAAAAACAGCTGGATTACCCTCGACAGCAGATTCGGTGCTCACCTGCGCCTGCTGGCAGCGGACCGGTTTGAGAGTATTCAACATGGATGCCCGCAAGAAGTGACGCTTGGCTGCGATGTCTGTCGCATTGTGACAAATGAACGCGGAGTGTTATTCTTTCAGGAGAAAAGGGAGTTGCTGGCAGAATGTTCTTTCAACTACATTGTTCCCCACTTGTAGAACTTCTGAACGCGTCTCCCATCCTTCTTTAGAAGCGGCACGTCGCCGGTTGCAGAAGTTAGAATATTTCACCACCATGACGGCTAATAATTTCGCGTGTCAAACGACGACGGCGACATTTCCAGAACCACCAGAAGTCCTTTCTGCGTATTTAATCACCTGAGAACAAAGCCCCCGGAAACTACGTAAACCATGCTAAAGCGTAGATGATGCCAACCAGTCATGCAGCTGTCCGCGAGCCATGGAGGACAAGCCGCGAGCAGACGAAAAGTGTACTGGTTGCCAGAAACCCCGAGCTAATCCGCTGAAGTATCGGCTTTCTCCCGCCAGAATCCCGATGTGAGAAACAGGCTGGGGTCATCCGTCCGCGAGCGGCGCGGACGAGGGAAATCGCTGATGTGAGGTCACGTGACGCGCCGTCCGTCCCGCCACATCCGGATTCGGTCCGTCGTCTGAATGCACCATTACCTTCAACAACAATATTACTGACAACAAACGAAAGTAAATTGCATAAAATTTCAATAGGAATACCACACGACATACTTTATAGAGTGTCCCTTGGGCACTGCAAAGTCTTGGCGACACAACGCTCATTTGAGATAATAATAAAACTGCTCGACTTTCTACACATTAGTTGCACAGAAGTGAGGCCCCCCAATATGGCGCCGGCATCAGAACGGCAGTGCTTCCATCTTGGTGGTTTCGGTGTAGGCACGCTATCCATGCACACTGTAGCATCTCGCACACTGTCACGCACAAAGCCTCTCGTCACTATTTCAACGGAATCGATAAAGCACAACGCCAGAGAACATCTGCGCCACCAGAGACCACAGATATGGTGGCGGACACCACGATTGCCCCAAGCAGAGGACGTCACTCTTAACCCTCCTATACTAAGGTCACCCATAACCTCTGTACAATGCGAATTTCATGGGTTCAGCTTCCACTGGCAAAAGCTGTTTTTTCGTTTTCTATCATTTCTCTCTACATTTTGATCGATAAAAGAGCAATGGAAACTTGAAAGGACAAAACCACTGACACACAAAACAGGTGCTGTAGTGTATGTGAGTGTTTTGTATTTGAAAGCACTTGTTGGGTCATAATAAAAAAGCAATCTTTTAATTAAGAAATTTCAGTCACAGCTTCAAATAACTTATGATTTCCTTAGTTTTATCAAGCATAACTTGATCATTTATAAGCAGTTTTATTTCGATAATTTTGTTAAGACGTGTACAAGTAGAGGTGGAAAAATGAATTGTATGCGCAAGTTCAAATCAGAACATCAACAAACAAGAGAAACTTGAGATTTGAAATGTACCACACTTATTTTTGTGTTCATGTGTGCTCGTGGGGCCAGCAGGGAAGTTCAAAAGGGCCACTTGCCCCTCTCGTGGCTTAACAGCACTTGCCCTCAACCAAGCTACAACAGTGCTCTCCCCTTCCTCCCGCTGCGATGCAATGCCGGTTTGCATCCTTCAAGAATCATAGAGTTTCCTAAAATTAACTAGAGGGGACTCTGGCGCTGCGATCGTTCAGCGACCATGGGAATGATGGGCAGTACACACATTTGCCTAGTCTTCGTACTTTCAGGCGGCGAATCGTACTTGCGGCTTCATTTACTTCTGTGTTTCGGTTTTGTTTTGAAAGAAAGATTCAACCCTTTTAAATTTCCTGACCCAATTTGGAAAGGTAAGTCGAAAAAAACAAGGTGGTGAAGCGAAATTGCTGAACATTTGCTGATTTTTGTTTTGTGAGAAAAAAAGCTCTAAGCCACATGAACACCCACGGAGCCAAAGGCAGGCCAGAAGTACGAAGATTAGACAAATGGGTGTACTACTTATCAATCCCATGGTCGTTGAAGCGCCGTGGGTTGCAGCTCCCGTAGACACTAGCGCCAGAGTTCTCTCTAGTGCATATTAGGAAACTCTATGCCAAGAATAATCCTCGCTGACGGCCATTTGCGTGCTCAAAAGCTCCTTGAACAGCTTGGAAAAAGTCCACCTAATTTTATCTCCATGAATGGAAGTAGCCACTGCATTCGATTAAAGTATGACCCTGCCATCCTAAGCTGAGAGTTTTCCCCTACTGATAATAGCAAATAAGGTGGGCATGCTTTGAATGGCAACCTCCAGTTGTGGCTCTTGGTTCCACAGCACGATAGTGTTTAAGAACGGCAAACACTAATGGTGATCGAGACACTGTGGGCTGAAGGAAACATACCAAAAAACAGAAAAATGGTCCAAATTATCATGCCCTAAGGATTGATAGGGGACTGAGCACTTATAGTGGCATGATAAAAGCAGACAAGGCTGTTTTTTCTTTTGCTCATTTTCCAAGCCTTCACGATATAGAAAATACGAGAGTGCCAATACTGGTACTAGAGGGAAGGGGTGTTAAGTGCCTCTTTTCCTTGGGTTTTTTTTACTAGTTGTAAAAAGTGCACGTTACCTGTAGCAAACCATGCTGACATTGCCAGCCAGCTATGGAGTCTGTTGGCCGATCCTTTTCACTTAGAGGTTTTTTTTTTTTGGAGGGGATTATGAACAGCTGGTTGAAGCATAACGAAATATGTTGCTTGGCTAGTTGGTTCATTGTTTTTCAGAAACGGATAGCACTACATCAAAGAAGATAAAGAGGACACACGGAAGCACTTTGTCAGCATGAAAATAGCTAAGGAAGCGCAGCTCAAGGATCACATGGTGTCAAGTGAGGCGCACTCCGTGCAACAAAAAATCAAAGGCACAATGTTGCAGAAAGTAGTATATGTACGCAACGTCATGTACAACAAAGTGTCGGCAACATTGGCATGTGGACTTGTACATTATATCTGCCTCTTATCTATGAAATGCGGATATTACATTGTGCATGACACTGGCTCAGGTGAGCTAACTTTTATTATATAGACTGTTTCAAGACTGCAAGTGTTGTGCCCAAAAATAACTTCCGGTCACTTCATTTACTGGGTTCTAACGTCGAACTAAAAGCACGTTTCGTCGTTTACAAGTCTCTCTTTAGTTTTTCAGATAACAGGAACATAAGTAAAGTTCAATGAAATTTCTTATCATTTTTATGTAGCTCAAAAGAACATTTATTTCAATATATTTCGTCAAATAAGGGAAGGAAAGTGTGGAAAATCAGCAGGCTATTTTCTAAAGCTTTTCTTGCCCATCAATGTTGTTAGGGCACATCGATGGACGAAACCGAACGTCATGAAAGGCCTGTGCTTGTTAAACAGTGAAAGGGTCTACATTTGAAGTGCAAGTGGCCTCACACAATGCAGAAAACTTGTGTTTGATGGACCAAATTTTGGGATTTATAAACTTACCGACATCCCATTGCTGTCTATTAGCTACTTGTACAAAAGTAACGTATAGTTTTTAAAAGATAGGTAAGAAAGCCACATGCTGTAAATGAAAAAACATACTTCATTTGAGCATGCATTTGATAGTATCGACATTATTGTGTAGCACGTGATGTGCTTGTCTGCAACCAAACACAATTTCATACAGTGCACTATCTTGGCATTTATAGTGAGAATGATGTCGCAGCTTGGCTGTTTGAGGTGAAACCGGTAGTTGTACCTGATACACCTATGACGGTGCGTATCGGTACCGGCATAGGTGTATATGACATGCTGCATTGTCTCGTTTGATGATGCCCTTGAAGTGCCGAACCCGAGCTTGAAGACACTGTCAGTATTACATTTCATCGACGGGAATCGGAAAAACTACACAGAATGTTCGTGCTGAATTTTACATCCAATGCATGACAGAAGCAAGAGGTAAAGTGCTACAGATGACCGGCGCAGCTGCACGTATATGCCGCATTGTTTCAGTTCTAAACAATTAGGATCTGCAAATACACTGCAAAGGGTGGATTCGGGGTGCATTATATTTGTTGCGATAATGGACACAGGTAGTGAGCGGTTGCCGCCAAATAAATGCTAAGGAAGTATAGAATTGAAAGCTGTCATTTTCATTTTTCATTTTATTACCTTAAAGACCCCATTGAAGGGGTATTACATAAGGGGTGGGTATTACATATATGAAAACGTGAAAGCCATTTTTTTTACAATGCAAGGTAGTTTGTTACGGTGTTCAAAAAGGTGGTAGGACAGGTTATGGCGGTGATTTCGTTAGAAAGGCCGTTCCAGTCCGTAGCTGCACGAAAAAAGAATGAGGACGAAAAAGTGACGGTGCGCGTACGCGGCCGCTCAACTTGTTGCGGGTGACCAGTGCGATGGGAGATGCGTGCCGGAGGAAGAATGTATGGTGGCCTGCCGAGCGAGCTGTAAAAAAACTTGTGAAAAAGGGAAAGACTAGAAATGCGGCGACGAGATGCAAGCAATGATAGGCCAGATTCTGTTTTCAGTGCTGATATGCTGACGTCGTAAGAGTACATAGAATGAATAAATCGTGTGGCTCGATTTTGAAGTGACTCGAGTTGATTGATGAGATATGCTTGATGCGGGCTCCAAATGGCTGATGCGTATTCTATCTTCATCCTTACGAGGG